GCTTTTTGCTCTTCTTGAACAGCCTTGCTTTGAAATGCACTTGTAGAGAAATCTACACAGTTATCTCTTATTATTCATTTTGGAGTAAACTGCAAACAAAATCTGTCTTCTTCCTAAGGCTGTTCTGATGTCTAAGTGACAGTTTAAGCCTACTTGTTCACTGTGGTTAAGCTATTCCATATTCCAGATTACCTGTTTTTTTCTAAAAGCATGATCTATTGTTCTTTTTTTTATGTAGTTGTATATTTTTCTCATATTTTGTTTGTGAAAACTGCACTTAGTACAAAATGCTTTTATCTCTCTCCCTTGATCAGTGCAGTGTTACATGTAGAAGTCTGAATACTTGTTACAGGGTTGAGATGGATGCTTTGTTATTATGAATCCCTTTCACATTATGAGTGATTAAGAATAATGCTTCTCTTCTCATTTTGTTTCTCGCGCATTTAAACAGTGTAGAAATAAATGACACAATTGATGACCTAAATGAATGGTTGAGGAACAGGAGGATTTGGTGTAATTATTTATGAAGAGAAGAAATCAGAATATATTTCCTAGGTGTGTATGTGTGTTTAGGGTAGAGGGGTTATTTAATGGCCCCTTCTTCCTTAGGAAAATTTGGAAGAGGGTACTTCTGGAACTTGGAGAGGGAAGGTATTCATAGAAAAATGCTTAAGACATTATTGCTATTGTACTGTAGATTATATGTAAAATTTTCAAAGATTGAGGCCTGTCCTACTGATGACCCTTTTGAAACAGTCTGTTACATAATATTAGATACTTCATGCTGTCTTTTAAGTCCCCCTGCTAAGATGCTACAAAACCTGTAGTAAAATTTCTCTCCAGTCAGTTGTACTTTTAAGTGTTTCTGGTTTGTGTCCTATACACAAAATGTCTCATTATCTGATTTTTTTTCTTTTTTTATTTTTCTGTATCAAGCCGTCAATAAACTACTTAGGTAAATTAAATTCAATGAAAAAAGGAATAATTTGATTCACGAACAGATTTTTGACACCCATGCATGTAAAACAGTTCTTTGGTTTGCAAATGGCAGTTTGAGTAAACATGTAAAAGGGGTATAGGCAGCATTCAAATGATTCCATGCTGTCTGTGGCTATGTTCACACTTTTCTCAGCTACAGCCAAATCGGCATCATTGATTCCTGTCAGATTGGTGAATCACATTTACAGATTATCCAGGGATTTATTGTGATAAGAGCAATGAAGATTTCACATAGCCAGATGCATAGCAGTTTAAAGCATTAAGGATAAAATAATTTTTCTTCAATTAGTTGCTAAATATTGAAATTGTTTACCTCCAATATTTCACCTTTGATTTCTTATAACAGAACATAGCTGATGAAATTCTTCTCTGAGTTAAAGGATATTTTTAGACAGAAAACCATCTTAAACCAAACCGTTCCAGAGCATTCTTTCTGGTCCTGTAGAAACCTGCCCTGACTGTTGGAAGTCTCCCACTGTGTCTGCATGTCCATCTTCCATTCAAGAAGTTCTTCCTATGTCTGGATACACAGTGCATTAGTAAAATCATTTCATTTCCTGGTTATTTATTGATAGATTTTCAACATGAAGTATTATTCACATAAATGCAGTGTAATAAAGTATGTTCACATGTGGTCAAATAGCTGAAATCTTGAACTCTGATTTGGTCTATTTTATTGTCATTGGTCTGAATTTTAACCAAATTATCACCAGACTAAGTCAACAGTCAATTTTTTGTTGGAACGGAAACCAGACAGTTCTAGATTTAAGCCCTAATGATTAGTGAGAGAATGCAGATAACATCCAAGTACATCTACAGGTAAGAATGTGTTAGTTGAGACGCATTGCCATAGAGAGATTGTGCCAAGTTGAGGTATTAGTTCCTGCTGTACTGCAGATTTCTCAACTGAAACATCTCAGTTTCTGTATTGGAATATATGCAACTACATGCCTGTCTGGGCCAACAATGAACTTTCTCCAGCAGCAATGCTTATTTAATATTCTTGTATTTGTGTTTTAGCAGAAATTTGCTTCAAGTGCAATAAACAACCTCAAATAAAAGTTTTTAAGAAATCCTGTCAATCTTCTCTTTAGTGATAAGCCATGAATATGGAACTTTGGTATGGATTCAGTCACTGCTTGTGTAAATAATTCTTCATTGAGAAAACTGACACAATATGCAATGTTTATGCCAGTACATGCACACACTGCCGTACATGCATTCACACGAACAGAATTATTCTGCATTCTTCAACAGCTCTGGGACAGGGGTGGAGACATATGTCCAAGTTGATGTTCTTCATATCTTCCTGGCTGACAATGTTCAAAGTCTTACATAGTTTAAAATGATAAATTACCTATCATGGGAGGGGGGAGTGTGTGTATGAACCACCTTTTTGACCAGAAAAAAACCATGCTGAATCAAATTTTGATCCAGATTTCACTGTGAGAAGGACCCTCACTTTCGAATTCCTGTAACTGCAACTAACTAGTATGTTGTCAAAGCGTAATTCAAGACAATCATGCCAGGATGATGTTTAAGACTGTCATACAGCTGGTCTGATCTCTTTTTTGGATATCAGATGCCTGTTGCTATCTTGGATCAACAAAGATCATCCCATCCTTGATGTTTACTTAACTATCTCAAAGTAGTTGTTGCAGAAGCATGTTTGATAAGTTAGAAAAATTGTCTTTCATTCTTCTATTTTTTGGAGTGGAGTACAAAATCACACCGTTAACATGTGGCTATGTATGTGTGTCTGTGTGCAAGGAAGAAAGAGAATTATATTGATATTAAAATATTTGAGCACATACAATATACACTAAATTAATGTATTACTGAATCAGTAACAACTTTCAAAAGTGATTTGCATTAAAACACACACACACACACACACACACACACTGATACATTGTATGTCATATGCTAATCTATTATTTTATCTTTAAATATATATATTTTGCATACTTATTTTTTTTCCTTTTGTTGTGTTGTCACCTGCCTGTGTTTGTTGGTGATCTATCAGGCACGTCTTACAATACCAGAGGGTATTTCTACAGGTAAATTATACCCAAATCACCTAGCTAGTCTTTTGTGTTAAGTGGATACAGTCTTTTTATTGGCATACAAAAGGTGGCAAGTCCTTTCTGTGTGACATACATACTAAACAAGTTCCCTTTCAGGTTGTTCAGTATATAGGACATGTCCTGAGGCTGTGTGTATGAATAGTTACTGTACACATGGAACTTGGGAAAACTGTTAAAGAATGGAGGTGCTTTTACAGCAGGCCTGTAGTCTGCATTTGGCAAGGATGTGGGTGGGGATCTTTTTCATAAAAAGTGGTCCTTTTTTTACTGTGAAACCTATTTCTGTTTATAGTACCTAGGCAAAATTTTGATTCAGAGAGTTACTTTACCAGTTGGATCCAGTTTATTCACCCTCCCCACCCACCCCCCGCCTAAACCCCCACATATTGCCTACAGATGATAAAAAAAATGCACAACTACAGAATAATGATGAGAGACTTCACTATGAACACAATCTGACCTTAATGGGCCTATGACAATGTAAATTAAGCTGGATCCAATTATGCTAGCTGATATAGTTGTTGTAAAGTTCTGCATCTTGCAATTGTGACAAAATAAATCCTCTGTATTTACAGAGAAATTTGCAGTAAATAAAACCCAAACAAAGTATCTTGCACCAATTGCTTGAAATGATGCTACTTTCATCTGTGTGAATGCAGATATAAGATTCATACTAATGTTTAAAGCTTTAAATAGGCCGTGATTCTCAGGGCTTCAATTCCTTGGATTCATAAGTCAAACTTCACTCATTTTCTCACTGACAGGTGGCATCCTGATGAGCTGTTGACTGGCTTGACAATTTACTACAGATTTTTTTTATTTAGGAAAAAGAAAAAAAATCTCCCGAACCTGCATTATTTTGGGTGCATGTGAGAATGTCCCTTAAAGCTCAGTCACGTACATGTTTGTAAGCACCCGTGTAGACAGGGAAGGCAGATAACACTATTTACAGATGATACTAAAATACTGATATACTTCTGTCCGCCTAGCAACTACTAGGGTTTGTCATGGTTGAAAAATGGGATTATGGACGACAGTGGCATAAAGCAGATAAAAAGATTTCACAATATAAATATATTTATTTCTTTCAAAGAAATAGGAATTGAAAATATATGTAACATTTTAACCTATAGCTATGCTATGTAATGATATTCAACAATTTTAAAATAAACTTTTTGTTCATCTAAATGATATACAACCAATAGGAAATTGTAATTTTCATCTTTTATAACTGTATATATTAAACATCAAATCCAAATACAGTTTGAGAAATTGTTTTCTATCTTTCATAATTATTCCTGTAGTCTTTGATAACTAAGTATTTTCTTTTGCTGGAGAGCTGTGCAAATTATCAGTATAAAGGTATATGATATGATGATATATTGGACAGAAAAACTAAAGCAATACTGGTAGTATATACATGAAATGTTAATGATGAATTGACATATTTTCAGGTCCTGTACAATTGGCAAAATGTTAAGCAAGTTAGTTTTCTTGAGGTGTCCTATGAGCAACAATATGATTTTGAGCAAATTATAGAACCTTTCTTCAAATTTGTAATAATTTGTAGATTTACTGGGAGGTACTTTAAGGAAGTTCAATACAGTTTTTTTTTTTTTTTGGGGGGGGGGATGTTTGATTTATTTAAATTTGATAAAACATAGATTAAACTATTTTGTAACTTAAAGCATTTGCTTTTTAATTAACTTTGAGATAGAGTGGTTAAATCTCAAAAATTTAGATCAAGACCAAAACAGCCTCGTATTATGAAAAATTAGCATTTGATGAATTATATTCTATGAAAAATCAAAAGTAGAATACATGGATAATGTTTTTTGTTCAGTTATCACATACACTCAGGTAACTGGCAGATGAATTGTTCAAAAAATTAAGAGCCTCCAGAAAGAAGCACACTAACTATAAATTGACTTTTAACACATTTCAGATCAGTCATAAAAATATATATATTTTCTAAATCCATCAATGATAATGATAGCTCGAAGATATTTTTAAAACAAAAATTAATTAAAAAAATTATTTGAATCCCAGATATTAATATGTCCTTAGTTGTGGAGTACACTTTGGACGTACACTGTAAAATTGTTCATAGCTCCAAGTTTTAGTACTTAGAAAACATTTTTGTCATAATATCCACTTGATCTCATTTGATCTCCTCTTGAAAAGATTAAGTATTTTTAAACCATGGAATTATTTTTATGGGCAGTAAATAAGGTAGATAGTTCAATATCTTTTCAACAGACAATTGTCAGTACTTTCTTCATTGGACATTCATTGATTTCCATCACACTTATACATACAAAATAATTGTTCACATATGGGTGTCAGTTGAGGCAGCAGGTTTTGTGTCACCATTCTTGAAGATGCTATCCTGGCTGCTGTCCATGGCGGCATTATCGTACACTGCTGTGGATTTCATTGGTTGTCCGGTGTAGCGACTGGTGTCCTTGTATCGCCCGTCTTCCAGCTCCTTGTAACGAAATTTGTAGACCAGGCACAGGAAAGTGGACACCACCAGGACCACAGCTCCTGCTATACCCCCTACCATTAGATTATATTGGTACTTTTCCCATGGGTCGGCAAAAGGAGCTCCGCCTAGATTAAGGCCATACCGAGTGTAGCCAACTTCTGAGCCTGCATTTCTGGATACCCTGCAAATATAGTATCCAAAGATGGAGGGTTGAACATCTTTGATGTGCATAATAGCATTTATAATGTGCCCAGCGTTGGTAATGTTCCTGAGGGAACGATGATCATCCGACCAGCCAGTAGTAACTCGCTTTGAGTCAGGGAGCACCCATTCGATGCGATCACTGGGCTGAAGGGGTGCCATGTAGTTGGTCTCATTGCAGTTGAATTCTTCTGAGCCTCCAATGACAACATGCTTACTCCATTCGTAATCTGGAGCTTTGAATTGGCTCTGTGCCAAGATGGCGGAGGAATGGAGTAACAGCAAAATTGCAATCACTTTGGCAACCATCTCTGTGCCTTATCTGAAACAATATGTTGAATATGATAAAATTGTTATATTAGCTTTAGATTTTTAAACTCTCTATGAAAAGATAAAAGGACTTGTGAACTTTTCAGCAAGTTAAATTAAGTCCTTAAAAGGGGTCATTTATACTTTTACTTTTATTTGATAATTATTGAATAACAATAACAATATGTATTTATATGTGATACCAGTGTACATAATTTATGAATATTACTTAATATTACTTAATAAAATTTCAAACTGGGCACACACGTCCAATTATTCATATGTTTGCCAGGGAGGTTATGGATGAATTTTGATGACATTTTCAGAAAATGTCTATGGTGGGCCAAGTATAATATTAAAAAATTATTACATTTTGGTGGTCATGTGGATTACCATCCACGTGATTCTCTCTGGTTATCTGTTAACAACATTCGCAAAAATATTTGGAGAGATTTTGATGACATTTTCAGATGGTAAAGAAATAAGCTAACTTACATAATGGATAAGATTTTGGTGGTGATCTATTAATTAATGAATTAAAAATAGAAAAGCACTAAAAAAATGCAGACCCCCACCAAGACTTCTCAGTTCTCATTGTTGTTAATTACATAATTAATTGTCCAATATCTCTTTTCAAATTAATGCCACAATGTTATCTGAGTAGATTTTATAAGTTATCCAAATGTTTCTTTTCTTTTCATGTTTTACCCTTTTAAGTTCAGATTACTTTGTGAAGTATATCTTTCCACTTTCCCATTCTACTAGTATATACATATATATGCAAAGGCACTCTTAGAAATAATTGTATGCAGTCACACCTGTACACTGAGTATTTCTATACTTAGGATGTGTAATATATGGGTGGACTGATATTTAGTAAGTTAATAGTGCTTTTGTTTTTGCCAAATTCATATTTTCAGAAAGTTTTATTTTAATTTACTGGACAAGTTTTCAAAATGGTAATGTGAATGACTGGCAACAGCACTGAAGTATGGTTTGACCAAAATTTTATGGTAATCAGTTGTACACATACTGGTGCAGAATTTGCCTTACAAGAATAAAGTGCAGTGTAATTTTAACTGATGCCCATTTCTAAAATATTTTCAGCGACAACACTCACTGTTCTATACCCAGTGCTTGAATAAAAATACTATGTAAAAATCTTTTAACAGTTATTTTTTTAAATCAATTTCAAAATCTATAGATAGACCAAAAATGTTCGAACTCACTTCTTGTGCTCAAGGCTCTTTGACAAAGGGCCAAATCGCCTTGCATCATATAGCTGGAAAACATGTTTAGTTTCTTAAAAACAATTAACTTTTTTCATCAATTAATTTTTTGTAACACTATACATTTACCTCTGTTACAAAATAAACTGTTAAAAAAAGCCTGCACTTTAAAAGTCTACATAGCAGCATCCAGTGTGTATTTAACTTGGTAAGTTTACTTTGCCACACCTTGTCAGAGGCAGGCCGTGACCTCCCCCTGATAAACTACACCCAAGACTTGTGTTACACGCACTTTGGTTCACAAACTTCAGGCTTTGTCAGAAAAAAAGTTCAACTGATGTCACGGAGCTTGGTAGTTGTCAAAAAGGGTGTGAAGCCCTCAAAGTATGAATACCTGTTTTATATGATATTCACCTAAATATTTCAGGCCTTGAGGCCTGTTTTAAATATTTATCTACTGTGTCATCATTACTTATATATTAATATACAAGTTTAAACATAGCAATGTTAGCTACAAGTTTTATTCCTCACTGTCTAGTACATACATGTAGCTAACCTTGACTTGTATTTTAACAGGGCTGTGAACCTTTTTACCCTTTAAGTTTACCCAACTTGAGAAATAGCATATAATGCAGATCAAATTTTGATTGAGAGTGGATCTTTCATGACAAAATGGTGGTTCTCTTGAACCCCCCCCCCCCCTCCCTCCCTAAATAAATGGAATAAATTGCTTACGGGCCTGTTTATAATAAAGTATTCAAAAGTTATAACTGAATGGACAGTTGATTTATTTATAATGCATGGGGTGTCCTCGGATATCTGTAGTTCACCTATTTAGTATTTAGTCTATGCCTTCAGTAAACTTACAGGTACCTTGACTTTGAAACTAGAAGAACTATATTTGAAGTTCTTTAACAACTGGCTTGAAAACTACCAATACATCTCCGTATGTTAATGATGAATGTATTCAAGGAGTGATCAAATTCACTGACTTTCAATATAATGTAAAACTAGCTTGTAGAACATTGCTGCTGTGAGGATGGGCAGTCGGAAAATGCCCCACCTCCAACCCCCACGCACCTCCATATTACTTTGTTCATCTTTAATAGTTTAGTGCTTAAAACTACATCCTCAAAGTATATCAGTATAAGATCACTTGCGTGCTTAACATACTGGTTAGGTGTAAAAAAGGAGTTGATTTATACATTTTGTAGTTGTCCTGGTAGTAGAACTTCTATAACATCCGCCCCGTGCCTGTTTTTATGCTCATTTTTTAGTATGTACATTATTGAAAACCGATGCAATAATCCCTATAAACTTTACAACACTGAGTCAATTTTAAGACACTTTACCCTAAAAAATGATCAACATCTTACCATAAACCTCCACTCTCAAGAAGCCTCGGCAGTTGTTTAATGAGCTGTGATACTAGCTGGGACAACGGGGTGGTGGCTGGCTGTGTAATCATGTACCTGAATTCTTGAACAAACACTAACTCTGGCCTAGTTTGATAGCGCTATTGTCCTGTTGTTCTCTTTACCTGTATGCAGAGTTATGCTAAGTAGTCTTGATGGAGGGGAAGGAGGTGGAGGGCTTAGAATTGGGGTATCGGGGAAAGTTTACTGTTTTTTTTAGTGAAAATTCCTTGCTGTTTTTTTGCATGGGTTATAAGAAAAAGGATATGTTAATGAGTTTGCCATTTTTTATTTTTAATATAAATTTTGTAAATTGTTAATTTGGGCACTCATGGTCACAAATTTGAGGCAATTATCATTTGAGACCTGACCAAAGTATTGAATGGTAATTTTTTCAGCTATACTGCTTTTTACAATATTACATATAGAAAAAAAATATATCTAATACTGAACCTAAGTTGTGTTATATGAATAATCTTGGTATATAATCTATAGGAGTCACGGTGATTTAAAAGACGTTTCAGTTTTGAATATCAGCTTCTACAACCTAAAGTCTAATTTATAAAATATTTTTAGGGATTTGTAGGTTACACAAATGAGACACACTGCCTCTGTATAGTACGGTATAAACGCAGCGAAATGACTTACTTTTCATCTATGTCTGTATGTCGACCTTGGCTGAAGTGAGACGTCTTGAAAATGGCTCCAGTACTCTCCCCACCCTTGTCACAAATAAATATTCAATCCACAGTCCTGGTTTGTAGACTTAGATGACTTTAACAAACAAATAGTAAAAAATGAATAGATAAAAAAAGTGGCGTGCCCTCCTGGCTTCTTTATCACTTTGTTATTTAGGACATGCATGACAAACCACATTGTGTGACGTTAGGTATTGAAGTTATAACTGGGGTAAGGTGACTCCTTGATTGATGATTTACCTGTACAATGGATGGTATCACGTAGGATTCTATTTGTGATTTGAATATCTGTTCTAAAAAAAACACATGTGCACACTCAGAGAGAAAGGGACTGGACTTATTGGTGAGCCTACATTGTTCATGTAGGTGTCATTAATTTTTTTAAAATATATAATTCAATTTTTTATCAATTTTTTTTGTTTGTTTTTTTTTTTTTTTTTTTTTTTTTTTTTGTTTTTTTTTATGAGGTGTGGTTCCACCAGGTTGTGCAAAGAAATTGCGATTGCAACTGACTTTTTTGAAGATTTCATGTGCATTATGTAGCTAGACAAATTACACAGTGAAAGCAATTTGTTTTATTTTTTAACATACTTGAAGGGAAGAAATCTGCACTCCATCCACTACACAATTTGTGAAATGCCATGGATTACTTCTTTTTTGATTCATGTATTTGAGTGTGAGAGATCATATAATAATGCATTAAAATTCTGCTCACTTTCAGTGTACTGTGCTTGAGGCCATACTTAAAAGAGATCTGTTGAAAAATTATAAGAAAAATAATATTTTGTTTAAGACATTATACAGAGCTTAACCCTAACAAGTCATCACTTCATTTTGAAAACACAAAATAAAAAACTTTGCAGTGCATGACAATAATTTATTTCAGAAGAATAAAATGTCGATCATTATTTTCTTATTTTTTCAGGGTTTTGAGCGCCTAGCCAGTTTGATCAAGGAAGAATTGGCAGCACAGGGAAAGTGATTCTTGAAGAGGAATATCGCAGTGATATGAAATGACTCTCTGCATTGGAATCTTAGAGAAAGTTCATCTATCCTTTCAACAATAGGTAGAGATGAGTGGACATGAGCTTTTCCCATGGATTCACAAAATTCCTAGATTTTCAATTAAACTCTAAATTAGAGCTAAAATGATCACTGAACCCAAATTAAGTGTTTGATTCAATAGCAATTGTTCTGTAAAATTTTAATCCCATAATCATGTACAGTTAATTGATTTAAGCAAATTTATCTGTTGAGGAGACAAAGAATATTCTAGACTGAATGATAAAAAGAAGAATTCTTAGTTCCTTTTTCAGTAAACTTTAGTTTTATTTAGATGTAAACTAATATATAGTTTTAAAGATTTATTTGGTGCAGGGCAACAAGAATATAATCAAAAATTTTAGACATGTAATTACATCTACTTTATGCTATTAGTATACAGCAAGTGGGTTATGTGTACAACTACACAAAATACATATTTCCTATATTGTAGTCCAATTAACTTAATAATATGCCATTGCATTTCAATAATTAATCTGACGGATTAATGTCAATATATTGTTACATTATTAGGCTTAGGGTGAATTTGAAAGATGGTGTGTGATTTACAAGTTGCTCACAGTATTATTTTAGATCTCTTGTTCTAATTTGTTTATTCCAGATAAAGTTTTATGTTAATATTCTGATGTATGTTATGTATTTTTGCTGAACAGACTTGAAAGCTCCAATTACAAACTTTTAATTTTTAATCTGTTGTTCATAATGTAACTATTGGATTAAAATCCCTTTTCATTAAACCTTAAACTGCAACTGGTGAAAGCATCAATCACAATCTCTTTATTATTTATCTGTTGTTCATAATGTTACTGCTGATTTAAAATCCATTTTCAGCTTAAACTTTTTAAATAGATTTTTGATTAGATATTGTGAAACTATACTTAATAATTTTAAAATGTTATTGTACGTCACATTTTGTAATGTATATTTGCATTTTCTGTAAAATATGATATAATTGATTAATATAACCAAAAAAAAACCTTTGCAATTCCATGTTTTTAATAATAATTATGATAAGTTGATAAATTCTTTTGCTTCATGCAAAAGTGGTGAAACCTGCTAGCTCTCCTAATCTCATCAGTGGCCCCAGAAATTACTTAGAATCAAACATCATCCAATGTTGACCTGCATGCTTTATTATTAGTATTGGTGAATTCAGGTGCCATCAGCACAATCCCAGAGGCATAAGTATTGTGTTAGTTGTTACAAAACACATTGTGTTTGGATGTGATTGTGATATTGCATGGGTGAACTTGAAAACAAGACATTCAAAACAAAAATTGATCTTGCTAAGTTGCCAGCAGTTTTATACAAATATTTGAAAGGAAAATTATAAAATGTATGACAAAAGGGTAAAACATTAAAAAGGATGCAACAAGAAATAGCCTATTGTTTGAGTGACTGGTACAGCCAGTTACTATGGTTGCTATGGTAATAAAAAGCTGATTTTTTTAAATCGAAGTTTTATCTTTAGAAGGGTACTGATCCTTTTTTAAGCACTGAAGCAGTGTTATGTTTAAGTTATAATTAAGGTAAATAAAAGCACCATCTGTTTTCAATGTCGGTCTCTTTTTTTCCATTTTTCTTGAATCTAACTGCTCTCCTAATTTTTGCAGATCATTCAAGAGGAAATATATACCCATATATAATAAAAATGAATTCATGGTTATTGATACACCTTAATGCCAGAAACATATTCTTAACCAATGCATCCTTCTGCAATCAATACCTTATGAGGTTACTCGTGTCTGATTGTGCAGCTTTTCTAAAACTAACCATCAAATACAAAAGAAAAATCAATGGAAATAAGTGGTTAAAGCACTGCTTGCACAGCAGGTGACAGCGGCCAATATTTGAGCAAGTTTGTGGTATGCATTGGATTGAACTCTGAGAACACGATATGCAAGTTGAAGTGTGAGGTGTGTGTATGTTTCATTGAGAGAATGATCTACCAGAGAACATTCTGAAAGAGTAAATTGAGGTAAGACTTTTCAGATATTATCAAATTTAACCTTATCAGTGTCAAGCCTCATTACAGAGCAAGATTTAGGTGAAATTGTTTTCTTTTAAGATTATGCAAGAATTTTAGAATACTTTGCATGGGAAAAATGATGAAATAGAGGGATTCGAGTCATATCACGATTTTTGTGGATTTTTTGAAGTATGTTTTTCCATTCCATGTTTTGAAATCTGGATATAATGAAACTAACATTATCCTGTTTTAATAAGATACAGTAGTTTTTTTTTTAATTTTTGAGGGAGGAACTGATGAAATATCCATACACAGTGTATCTTTTTTCTAACTCTAGACTTGTAGCTATTCCAAACATTTTAATTGAATTTTTTATTTAAATTTGCATTAATTCAAAAGTTTTCATGTTACAATAATAAAATCAGTAGTGTGAAAGAAAAAATAAACACTGACATAATTTTTCCTTCTGCTATTCCACCAATTTTCCACGCAGGCATTTTCCAAAGCCTCCCTCTCCATTGAAACCAATCAAAGCGTGAAAAACTTCACAATGTATCAGTGTAACCGGCGCTATTTCTGTAAGCAACAGTATTGTACATTTGATATGTTTACACCGCATAGAAAGAGCAGGACGCAGACAATAAGAAGGCTAATGTGGCGTCTGTGTAACTAAGCAATTTTGATTGAAAGGAGGAAATTATGCATTTATACGTGCCTTTTCGGTCATGTCTTATTGTAGATGCTGTTGAACTCGGTGGCAGGTAGTTTGTACCACTATACAGATCAGGAAGAGGTGTAAACTTTGGCTTGACTAAGGTGAGTTATTGTCTTTTAATATTGAGGACACACTCTTATAAAGATGAATATCATTTTTCTTTGGTGATAAGTTATTTTTGTAGTAATTTGTTAGACAGGGGCTATGCTTATTAGAAATGTTCTTCTAAATTTTACACACCATATAATATATGGGGGGTTATGTAAGGGGGTACTGTCAGTAGAAATATTTCATTCATTCTGCTTGGTATCCTGAAAGTGACCTGTTTATACTATCTCAGTCTTATCTCCACTTCCTCCATTGTCAACATAAGCACACATGAGGTAGGCTATTTGAGAATATCTGAAATTAGTCTGTACCTAATATATCGTTTATGGTGGTTAACACTAAGGAGAAAACATCGAGACTTCCTTGAAGATTTATATTTGAGTTGGACTGAAATGTCTCCCTTAAACAAATGATAGAGAAAGTAAGTAAAACCCGTACTTTATTTTATATAAATATCATTTCTCATTAAACCAGGAAACTACCGTTATAATACATATCACACTTAATCATATTGAAACTGATTTGAGCAGTTTTATTTTCTTTGTCAATGTGTCATGGAAAATTATTCCCACACCATTGCCGACATCCCAATAATGTATCTTTACCAGTTATGCCTATACTTGACTTTCATTGCATAAATCATTGATGGGGGTGGGGGGGGGGGGGGGTACTCTTAGCTGTAGACTCAACCCTCCAACTTTACATTATTAAAAAAAAAAGGGGGATTAATAGATATATAGTAATGACAGACATGAAAAATCAGTTTTAATAATGAAAGAATGAATAAATGAAAGACCAAATAATTAAAACCTGTATTTTGTAAAATTATCTTTCAAAATTCCTTTAGTAGACCATAGTACTTTTTGAATCTGTCCCTAATTTAATTTGTATTTATTGGAAACAAATCATCTTGCATTATATGGTTGCTCTTTTCCATGGCAGTAATAGTAAACACACAAGATACATTTCAAATACACCGTTAGTACTATAACATGAAAGTTACTGAATTGAAAAAAAAAGTCCTATAAACTGTATACTGTACAGAGTCCACGCAATAATACAAGTATTTCAGTAGCAAACAACTCCTACCCTCTGTCAGGGTCAAAGATTGATTTTTTCACTCAATATTCACAGATTTGTCTCTGGCTAATTCATGATGTCTCTAACATAGAAGAAAAATGCACATAATTAATCGGCGGCCCTGGAAGAGGGTACACAACTTAACTCCTGCTTTTAAAGCTGAACTTGGATATCTGTGTCACATTGCTGTGATTGATGTTAGTACTTTGATCACTGCATGGCTGAACTTGTTTGCTCACTTGTTTGAAAAGTGGGGCACATTGTAACTGAGATATGTTACCCATGGTAAATAGGTCTGTTACTGCAATACTGAAGATTATACAGACCCAGATTGCTCAATCTATAACCATGTAATAGAGCTATTACTTGGATCTCTTAATGCTTGTTGTCGGTTATTGTGATATAGGTAAGTTCAGAGTTTTGATGAAATTGAGTTAAATTAAATTTGAAAATGTGAGGCAAAATACTTTAAAGGCATTAGATCTAGAAGGCCAGACGGAATGGACAGGTTTAGGTCTGTATATAGTGGTGTTTTTTTCACCCTGGGTAAATATCATTTGTTAATTAGTTACGGGTTGTTGTTTGATTGTTTTCAGTGACCATGCTTGTGTTTCTAGTATATGTTTTTGTTTAAACTTAATAGATTAAATCAATTTGCCTTGGAAAGTTGTGTGATTCTAATTTTTGAGTATGAATTCATTTCATCAGTTGTTTGTTATGTAGTTAATGTTATTGTTGACATTTCTTTTTTATTGTTCTTTTTGTTAAAACTCAACCAGAATGTCTTTTATTTAATATTTAATAGTACATATTTTTAATTGCCTTTTATGCCATTTTTATGCCATTTCAAGACAGTGTCATAAGAGCATTATTATCATTATTATCATATTAAAATATGGCCTCCCTTTTACCATTTATTGCAACACGCTTTCTGCTCTGTTTGTTTCTGCACAGTTTGTACAAAGTGGTCTCCTGTTTCATAGCCTTTGAACACCATTTGATTTATAAATACATCCAGACTGTGGTTCAACAAGGGAATCAATGGCTCTAAGGTCAAATGACCGATTTACCCTTGAAAGTTGAGAAATTTGATACTTGACGTCCCTTTGCTGCACAGAAGTTACGAAGTAAGATTACACTAAAAACTCAGCCTTGTAAACTTTTCTGTTTTCATTTCAAATAACCATTTGATTTCTATCCTTTGGGGAATGTTTTTGTTTTTTCTGTCTTTATGTGTCTATACAGGAGAAACAAGGTTTATTATGAATAAGCTATTGGGTTTTAAATCCTTGGTTACCAATTAACACAGACACAGAAGGGATAAAAATTTTTACTGAAACTCTCAGACCAAAAAAAAAAATGAATTTTTATGTAACTGTGTAAGCCTTAATATTGTCTTGTTGGAAATCTCTAATCAGTCATTAAAATTTGTTCAAAAGAGATTCCCTTTTCCTGTTTCAAATGAAATGATTTTTTTTTTTTTTTGATAAAGAAAAGTAGACTTAAAGTTATCAGAATGACATCAAATACAATTTGATCAGTTAAAGTATTGTGGTAGCTTTCTGTTGAAGTATATCTTGGTAATGGGAGAACATTAAGGTCTTTGTATCATTATATGTATGTAATAAGTCTCTATGTATTGAGTGAAACAGTCAATAGTTTTCTTGTAGCTCTATATATAGTTCCAATTGATGTTTTTATAGTTAATTGAAGTCGTGTAATGTTTTATTTCAAACCTACTAACTTAGCAAATGACACAGAGTTTTAAAGGATATTTATTGTAGGAATCAATATCAAACAAAACGAAGAGAAGTAAGCTCTGCGTCCCTAACAACCACCTACTTTTAATCACGGGACGTACTTCCACAAATCAATTAGAATAAAAGCAAATATTTTTTATTCATCTGAAAAGTTGAAAATCATGAATAGAACCTGCTGGAGTAATCTAGCAAATTAAATGACACAAGTTTGATGTAGATTAAGCAAATATGAGTGAACCACAATTTAAGCTAGCTCTTTATTCTTTCTGTAATAATTAGGTACCAAAAGGTTATGAAAAAAATGTTGACACTGAATGCCATTCTTTGTTCATCTTCAGAATTCAGGTATTTGTAATAGATGTTTATTTTACAAAGATGAACAGTTGATCAATATAAAAGTTCACAATTTATCAACAAAACTTACACTTTTTGCAAATGAGAAAGTGTTAGGTTTATTTTATGAAGAATCATGAATGTAGTACGTAACCATGTAAGCATAAATTCTTCTTTTCCTTCACATACAATATAAGAACAATTTTTTCAGCTTTAGAAACAGTCACCAAATTTCTATGGGGTTAAGATACAGTTTGTGATTAATATAAATATTATTCCCATTTTATAATGTGTAAAGGTTAGACACATAATAACAGGTAGCAACAAGAAAAATGTATTCAGTAACTCTCTGTGTTTACTATATCACCATGATACCTGTACCTGTAATTTGCTTAATTCAGTAAATAACATACCTGTCACCGCGACCTGGGGGGCTACAGTAACTACCTTTAATAACTTCATCAGAATTTGTAATCATTAAAAATTACTTCATTAAAAAATACCATAGGGATTTTTATGTTTTTCGTGCTTTAAATTAGGTTTTAATGTGTCGAAAGTTTCTCTTTTATAAAGTGGAAAATTTGTTTATGATAAGTATCTTTAATTTGGTAGAAATTGCAATTGAAAGTAATTGAATGGCCAATGCTGGACGTTGCAACTTCGGTCACGGGTGGGGTGAAGTGAAACGTAATGTATTGTGCAATGGCATGCACTCTTTGTTTATATTTTTCTTTTGCTTTGTACAAGTCCATGTTCCTTGTGCCCCTTACCCTGACCACTTTTCCCATAAAATCACTTCAAACTTAAACAGGAGAAGATCGAAGTGGGCAAAAGTATATCTCTCAAGAAAAAGTGTCCATTTTCATTGTCAAAATGTTTGTCTATTCTTTTTCCAGAATCTCAGAATATCTAAGATGTAGACCACGTTCCAGTGTTAGCATTAGGTAAGTTGGTTTCTTTCAATCAATACTTAACAGGGGCGGATTTAGGCAGTCTTCTGGGTCTTCCGGAAGACGGTCAGATATTAAGTTTACATTGATGGGTATCTAATTTTTTCTGTCGGAAGACGGTCGAAAATGAAGGGTGAATCAACAAAGATAATTTGGAAGACTGTCAGAAAATATCTTTGGGTCCGCCCCTGCTTAATAAGTATTTTAAGTAATGCTCTAATCTTATTCAGAATGATTATAATTGAATTTTATAAAATGTTTGAATGCATAACCCTATAATTTAAAAAAACAAAAATTAAATTTATAATGTACTGTAAAATGTTATGTTATTATTACCACAGGTATGATACAAAATAGTTTCTGATTTGTTAAGTTATACAGTTTCTTTGTGCCAGATTAGACCATGCTCAAAGGAACATATTACCTTTAATCTCTCTGTTAGCTTATATTTAAACAATTCATCAGCTGTTCTAGAATTTGCACCTGTTACTCCATAGTCACACGACAATATATCTACCACAGATTGTGTTGTGTCTTATTTAGTTGAGTGATTTTGGCTTAATTTCCATTAAAATTTGAACAAAATAAGGAAGTATTACATATACATGCAGACCTTACATTAACTAAGAAGTTAGCTACAGTGCTTAAACTTTGTCAGAAGAGAAAAAGACTGGAGTTTCTGATGCAGAACAACTTATCTTACAAAATGAGAGAAAGAAAAATGTCTCAGTTGGATAAGGTTTATTTAAAGACATTGAGGTAAATAACTCTGGTAATACATGGAATTTTAATTGCATTAATTAAAATTATCTGGCTGTTATTTTATTTTATTTTTCTTTGAAAGATATTTTATTTGAAGTTGTTTTTGTATTATTTCTTTTTGACATTCAGTTAATATTTATAGGTAGATTTTTTTTTTTGTAATTCTGATCACATTATTGAAGCTGGATAGAAATCAAAAAAATTCTGTTCCCATTGTGAGCTTTGTACACCATGTAATGGCATCATTTCTACACTATTAATCTCCAAAGTTACAGGTTGCAGGTTACTGTATTAAATCAAAGATCTTTTATTCTAAAGCCACTTAACTATTGACCTCAGGTTGGTGAAAGGACTAAATGAATTCATTATTACGCCCCTGATTTCATTTGATCTTTTGCACTGATCAATAATGGATGAAAAAATTGTTACATGTGTTTGGTCCAGAACAAAGAGTTTTTCACAGTGTTTTTTTTTTCAAAGGATATATGCAACAATCAGTAATTGAAATGAAATTAAATGAAATGGGTTTTTATTATTTCATTCTTTTGTACTTTATACGGAAATGAGAGAAATAGAGGAAATGCTCACGTCAATAAAAGTAATGTAGGGAATTAGGGAAGCTTTTGTGTAATAGTGTCTCATGAAAGGCTGACAAAAAAGGACATCTACAGGTTTTCAAACAGGATTTATATCATTTTTCTAATATTATTCTCTGGTAAAAAAAGGATTCGACTCACTGTAAAATCCACATGAATTAGATGAAGACAATTGAGGAACATTCTGTGGACAAAAACAAGTATTGAACTGATTTCTCAATATCATCTTATCAAATTTTCATTTTTATGATACTGCTAGTATGATAATTATATTCAGTGCATTATTTGAAAACATGAGAGAAAGGTGAGCTGATATCTTTTAATTTGTGATGACATGATAGAAACAGACTAAGAGTTTACACCAAGCAAGGTTAGTCGTGGTTTTTTTGCACCAAATGGGATTACTTAAAATCATGTTTCTCTTAGCATTTACATAAGTCGGGAGCATTAAAATTATTTAAAGTCAAACTATTATGTTTTTTGCCCTCGGGTTGCATAGGAGTATTAAAATTATTTAAAGTCAAACTATTATATTTTTTGCCCTCAGCTTACACTTAAGATTTTTTTCACAAATTGACAACATCTTTCATATATAGTACTAGTTTTGTTTACACGAGTGCCATGTACACAATGTTATCAGTGATATCAATTTAATTTAACTTCACTCTAGAATTAATGACCCACCAATAAATAGTGTTACTATTGACTTTAGATAGTGTCATGGATGAAGTGAATAAGAAAATAATGTGTCTTAGTGTGCAGTTTTCTTTAGCCATTCAATTTGGAAGATGCTCAAGTTGTATTTAAGAAATTAATTGCTTACTTAGTAGATAAGGCCTTGTATTAAATGTATTGCCATTTAAAACACTTACTGAAGTGAAGTATTAGATCATATTGAATACTCTCCCTGAACAGATGTCTAGGGTACTGTTTATAACCATCTTAACTAGCTACATATGTACATTACAGTAGTAATATTTTTGGACTTGGTTTATTACAATGAAAACTTAATTTAGTGATTAATTTTAAAAATACAGAAAGGTATGAAATTAACCTAAAGACTGTATTAATTATTCTTACATAAGAATTGGTTATTAAAATAGAGAGATATAACAAAATCGTTTTCAATTTGAATAACTTGTGTTTTCAGGCACCAAACAATTCCAGAATACCAAGAATCCAGTGACATGGAAGAAGAAATTACAGAAATAGAACAAGAAGGCAAAGAGGAGGAAGGGGAGGTTATGGAAGAAGAAAAAGAGAAACCTCCAGTCAGGAAAATTTCCATAAATATGAACGACTTAGCCGACCATGATTTAGGGATTTATAATGATGATGAAGATGGTCCTGATTTGACTGATACAGAAGATGAAGATGCCAAAGATGATGGTGAAGAAGGCAAGGAAAAGACTACTGGTGCTGAAGCTGAATCAAATATTAAAGATGATGCAGAAGATGCCGTGGGGGCTGAAGACAAAAAAGTACAGGAAAATATGCAATCTATGAACATCACGCAGGATACAGAACCAGATTTTGATAGTAAAAAATTTGAGGTAGAAATCTCAAAAAAAGTTGAGGAAGATGACTTTGATGCTGTCTTCCCAGAAGCCCCTGGGGATGGCAGTCTCCATGACAACAATGACAATTCTGCTGATGATGAGTCTGCAATTATGCATTCAGCTTTACGAGCAACAACCAATACCCCTGCTGATGTTTGGGATGAAGTGCAACAAAGTGAAGCAAGACAATCAAGGTAAAATTTTATGAGTGTTTATAATCATTGCTACAAGTCTTTGAATTTACATTTGGAAAAGAAAAAGGGCAAATGTATAAACAGAAGGGTTTTATTTTTAAAAAATGATTAACGACAGGAATTACGTCTGGTAGTAACAGCCATAATGGTGTGGTTAAGTATAAGATAAGGATATGCTTATCATGTCTACCTTGTACTATACTGCCCTCTGGTGTGAACCACACAGACTGCTTTCACACCTGTATCCAAGTTGTTAGTGCTGCCATCTTAAGGCATATTATGCCAGCCTCCTGTGTAGTTTTTATGTTTTCAGTCATAACTCTGTGTAATTCTGCAAAATTTGGCTCAAGCAAGGTATTATCATTCTTCCTAATTTGTAGTCTTAACAATCTGAAAAGTTTGCCAACAAAGAATGAATTCAGATCAAAGTGTCCATGAAAATTGCATTGAAAGTGCATTCAGGCCACCAAACAATACTAAACACCTATGTTGTAAGAGGTGGTTGTAATTGGGTCATTTTATAAAAAGTCAGCAATATGCAGGTGTCATGTTTATTTAATCAATCGGGAATTGTATTATTATATTGAACTCTGCATCCCTGGTTGGGTGATCACTGAAAGGTATCCCAGCAAATTTACAATAAGAGATGAAAAGATCAGCAGTCGGCGTGAAGTCTGGTATTGTTTCCTTTCCAAGCTAGAGAGTCTCTTTTCGTAATCGCATACAACATTTGCAAAACCTTGAAAATAAAGGTCATCCAGTTTCAACCTGTTCTTGCTCTGCTTATTGATGTCTTATAATCAAAATGCAGATTAAAACGTGTAAAGATTTGGTATCCAGTTGCAAGTTTATGTGGTGCCCTAGAGGGACCCGTGGACTCAGTAGGCGACTGTTATAATATTTTGTCTGAGGATATTTTTTGCTGAATTTCTCACAATGGAGGGCATAACTCAAAGTAAGACATTTATATTTTTATAGATCATATTTCTTTAAAAATATATATTGAAAACTAATATTTAGTATTTAATTTTATGTATAAAGTAAGTCTGAGTAAGTAGATTAAAACCTAAAATGCAGTGCCATGTGGAAACCATTTGTACAGTGGCGGCCAGGTTGTCATCAGAAATTTTAGCATTTGAGACATTGTAAATAGAAACTTACATTTTATTACACGTCAAATTTTTTAAATGGAAATTTTTCCCCATTATGAATACTGACAGACACATACAGAAGAATTCTGCTCACCATTTTTGATTTCTTGTTTTTTAGTCATTTTTTGTCATAAATAAGTTCCCATCTTCTCTTATTCTATCAGACTAGAATTAAAAAATGGTCTGTAAGACTAACAGTATAATTTTCAAGCAGTTAAATGTCTAGAAATGCCTACAACCATGTCAGTTCAAGTTGGTTTATACCTAGATCAATGTTATGTTGGCAGATGAATGGGTTTGAAAACAATTAGTCTAAGATCAAAAGTCACTGAAGCAAAATGTAATCGATATTAACTAAAAACTTGGTTGGTTTGATTATAAGGTTGAATTTATATAACCCCTGGCTTTAATGGACATGTTTTAATATTTTTTTTCTGTTAAACAACACAAACATACAAACATAAGTAGTTTTGATTCTTGTGTATGCATGTAGTTTGTTCACTGACATAGCATAAAAACAGATAAAACAATTTGTAGATTTAGGTAATTAAATCTCTCACAAATTGTAAAGTGTACCAAAAAGGGCACCCTGCCTAAACATATCCAGTGCCTAGTCAGTATTTGCCAGGGACCCAATCAAAACACCATGGGCTAATTAATGGCCTCTTAGGATATACACACGAAGCTTAACAGCCATCTCATTGGTTAGACTGTATTTGTCAAGTCAACATATTCACTGCTGTGCCTGTTAAGTTTGTGAAGTCAAGTAACTCACTGTTGTACCAATAATATCGTGTTGACTTTTCTAAACATCATGGAAGTTAAGGGAGAGAGCAGGGTGGTTACTAGGATGACAAAAGTCAACTTCTGTTAAGCTGTATATTTGAGAATGATCGGACTGGATTCAGAAATGATTTTTAAAAGACAGGATATATTCTTTAAGGCGATTTATAATCTGTCATGAAAATGGAACAACGGTTAGTACATTTTTGGGGTTGGAAGTATTAGTGTGATTTTTAGACAAATGCTGCAAAATGCAGAGCAAATATAATGTTAAGTTTCATGAGTGTATTTAATGCATATGCTTTCATATTGGAATATTTTCTAGCAATGAACACGTCTTATTTCACAGGCTGTAGGACACCTTTCTAGTCCTGAAGATTGTTGATTTAGAAAACAGTTTTTAGATGCTTTGTGACTTAAGTTTGCTTATGATTTTGAAGAGAATATTAAGAGGAGACATGCATATAGCTGCACAAAATCTATAAAGTGACAATCCATGAATTAGATTAAAGAAAGAAATTAATAATAATATATTAATGCAGCACACAAATATAATGTTTTTCATCAAATTTCAGAGCCACAACCAGTTGTGCTCCACACTTCCGTGAGAGGTACTATAATCGTGCCATGTCTTTAATGACCACTCGATGCTCCACAAGTCAACGCAGAAGAGTAAAAACGCCATTATTGTCAATAAAGAACCCCCCGTCTGGGTCACCTGTGTACGCCAAAGTTTTTTATGTTGAACAGAACAGGCCTTCACCCATGGAACCTCTAAAAGTAAGGGCCACAAATACTGATGTTATTCATGATTTTTTGACACAATATTAAATGTAATTTAAAATTTCAAAGACAAAGCAGTAAATATCTGTATTGGGTTTGACAATTCTTAATTTTTTAAGACATTGCTTTTAAAACAATTTATTGATGCCAGAATTTCATCTGGATGATTTTGTGAAAATCTGTGAATGCATTAAGTCATTGTGATATCATTGTATTTCAGGCTTGGAGAGGCTACAACGGCAATGTCTACTTTGAACCAATTGGAATCAGTGCCACCAAACCTGTGCCAAAGTCCAGGAAAACACCTTCTTTGGACAATTGCAGTGATATACTGCGGAAAGCAATGCAATCTCGTGCATCAAGTCGATTAAGTCAGGGACAGAGAGACAGCGAATCAGATGAGGGGAAAACAAATCCTATGACACCTAGCCAAAAATCCAAAGGTTCTAAATATGGGCACCTATACGTGGGCCCTACATGTGCTGTATTAGACAAGAATTCAGTGTTGAATAGGTACAATGCTACTTTACCAGAAGAAGTGGCTTTATTAGCCAGTATGGAATCTACAGGGAGTCTAAAAGTCGACGAACCTGGGATTCTGGAACAGCACAAAGATCATATATTAAAGAAAAAGTACGTACAAAAAAGGGACAAAATTTGCAAGGGATCCGTTGCACACAGGATATACTTAGAGAAGAGGAACCTTCCAGATGTGGAGTATAGTGGGTATCATTCAAATGCTCACACACATCCGTCGCAAAATCTACGTGCACAAACAGCACACTCTGGAAGCAGTCTGCGATTGCCAAGTCGTAACAGTCCAGAGGGGTACCATGCATTTATACCCTCACAGGAACTTCAGTTGCCGCCATTAGATCACTTACAAGCAACCTTACGCCATTATGACGGTGCTCCCAATAATTTAGTGCATGTGCGTGTACCCGCATTTGATAGACCAAATATGAGGAATAGTTCAGTAAAATCTGCCTATAAAGGTTATGTTAAGTTTGCATAAGTATGCATAGGCACAACAGCTAAGGACTAGTACATTTTTATATTGTACGATTTTCTCCAGGAAAGTCTCTTGAAGTATTTCAAAATGCCTCTTTATTCCAAATTTGTTTATGATTTAAAAGTTTTATATTATGCAGTTACTTTTCATGGAAAGGATTCAGTTCAATTCAAAATTAAGTCACTTTTCCCAATGTTAGGTAGGGTTTTTTAGGAGTTATAAGCAAAACATTGTTTTGGGAGAAATTACTATTTCATTTTGTTCAGATCAAGTGAGAAATTACCAGTATTCATCTTCATGAATGCATACATTATTCTTCACACTTCATAATTAGTCTAGGTTGTCTCTGTTATGTATACTTCTTTCATCAAATCACCAAGAGGACCTAAAGGCTAGTTTTGCACAAAGTATCAAATACCAATTTTTGGCTCAAAAAATTTGTTAAAAGTAATGCTAGCTGGACTCAAACTAGTTGATACATTAGTTGTCAGCTATTTGATCATACTTTTTGAGTTGGAGTAGAAATTGTAAAATGTTTAAGATGTACTATTCTTTTGCTTCACAAATTAGACAGATTGATTATACTATTAAGTTCTTATAAATTATGCCAGACATACGCTCAGAGTTAGCCATTATTAGAATGTAACTTTCTAGAATGTTAATTATGTTTCCTCTTTAAAAGAGATCAGCTGGAATTTGCATTTCAATCTTAAATTCAGACACATACAATACTGGGAAGTTTCTGCTGATTGTTGTGTAAATATTGAACACAAGTATAAACAAGCATAGTGTTACTGGAGGCCTGTGTCTAGAGGAGTGTTCTCTGGGTCCAAAATCCAAATTAAAGTTTATATCCAGTGTTTGCCTCTTAGGAAAATTAGTTGCTGGACCGAAAATTCAGCCATCTTGAAAAGTATCTGGCTCGAATGTCTGACGGGTATGAAAACTTCTCAGCCCTTTCGAAAGTTGTCGTCCCTTCTAACACTGTTTATATCAGCTTGAAATAAGAATGTGATTTTACAATTTACTCACAATGAATCTTTACACATAATTATTACTTTTTTTACAATTAAAGCAACAAGAAAAAAAAAGAGAAGGGTTTCTTATTTTATTGAAAATGTCTTGTTTTATTCATAGCCCCGACTCTCACTCGATCAAATTTATATCTATATGTGCATTTGTTTAGAACTGAAGTATTGGCTGCACATTTAGTTGTTTTTGAAATTTAAAAAAATGTATATTAAATGTTATCATCAAATTATCATCTCCATATAAAATCACTGGTGCTTCAGTGTTGGTAGTGTATTGTTCTTGTAAACCTTTTTCATGACATCATTATAATTTATATTTACTATCATATTCATTTCACAGAGTTTAGTAGTCATAATACCAAAGTATATACATAAACATGTATTATACACTAAATGCATTCCTGTAATTTAATGTATTAAAATGTGAATGCATGCATGCATCTGATGACATGAATAAAATTATCTAAAATTAATTCCATCACCTAATTGTTGTTAAAGCTGAAAATGATAATCGAGTCCACTATGAAAGTGACTATGACTTTGTATTCACTGTTAACACATTATAACCATGTTAATTGATGAGAAGCCCATAGATATTGTTGACTCAGGAGACTCATGCAATATCGTAAGCACAAAGGGGCTAAGAATGTTGGTGAGGACATGATTGTTATACGGAAAAACGCAAGAAGAGACGAAGCGCTAAATGCTATGACTGGGATTCAATATGCAAATACAGTTGGCTCACTTGTGTATTGTCATGTTGATGCAAAGGTTTGGCTTGTTCTTAGCAAGAAGATGTACAGTAGCTCACCACTACCATTCATGCATAGACTTTATGGGCAATCACTGTGAAATTCCTACTGAAGAAATCAGTCAAAAATTTGAAGTTAAACAAAAATATGGTTTGCCACTATGGAAGGAATCAGTAATTACTGTAAAATCAATCTGCCACTCATTAAAAGTAACAAAAATATAGTTTGGCAATTATAGTTACTGATGTCTCAGACAGTGACAGCGCCATCACATAGTGATCAAAATACTTAGTGTTTTTACATAACAATATATATGTGCACTTGTAAGAAAACATTTGGAGAAAACTATACAAAAACAACCATTTAGAAAAAATGTCTTTATTCTTTCTTAATTCCCAAATTCAAAGCATTTAAATTTTGGTACTAAAATTCAAATCAAATGATTCTTAAAACATATTTTTATAATTTTCAAACAACATGGACGGACTGATGAAAACAAAATACCATATTTAAAGCAAAGATAAATATTAAATATCATAAACAAATAATTGTTAAATTGACATAACTACTATGATGATCATATGGTATACTAAAAAAAAAAGAGCAAGTACAGAAATCGGTCAAATTCAAAAATAAATCAAAAAGGAAAAAAATATGAAAAATTCAGATATTGAAACTAATATCACAGCAAAATAATAATGTTGTCACATTTCCGATTATACGAGTCATAATCTTGAAAAATGTCCTTAAACTGTATTATATATGATTTAAAGGAAAGCACATACTTAGAGAAAATTAAAATGGTCACAGGCTTTTTCTTTATACATTTAATCTGCTTCAGAAAATCAATGTCTCTTTTGAGATATATTGCCTAACCACTGTCTTAACTATAACTTTGATATATCATACACATAAACTTTATTCACACTATCAAAGAAACAAGTCTTTACTTATGATTTTAACTATCTCACTTTCCTTTTCTGTTGATAGGTCTTAGGAAAAAGTCAATTCAGTCTTTAACAATGTCACAAAAAATCAACAATGATATTTGTGTCATCTTTGGGGAGTAACACTTCCAGATTTCTTGTCAAATAGACATCAATATCCTCCCACATGTCAGATATATTTATAAAGGCCTGTGATAACTTGAGATCTCAAGCTGGCCTTCTCCACTAGATGGCACTACTGTGCCTTCAGGAAGAGAGCAGCCCCAGACAGCAGCCACTGACTCTGATTACCACCACACGGGATGTTCATGTTGATGACTATCTTCTCGCGGTCACTGCTGAAGTAGATGGGCAGTGGTATGACCTCGTTTGGTGGGTAGGGGTCAGGGGAATCCTGAAATATGGACATTAATGTTTTTATGTTGATCCCATATTGAACAGGAACTGAAATATTTTTATAATTATTAATATTGATCTCACACTGAACAGTAATTGTGCTCCTCTGTCACTCATCATAGGTACAATTTGTGTTGAGGATAAAACATTAGCTTGTCAAGCAATAGTTCCAATAGTAAACTTGGAATTACACAATTATAACACACCCTATTATAATATCTCAAACATCACATAGTCTCTCTCTCCTCTTAGAGCACTACAGATGTTGAAAACTTGTACTTTTCAGTACAAATCAATCAGTCAATCTCAGTGTACCTTGGGTATCCAGGCCACCACACAAGGGGGTACCGAGGAGACACTGGGGGAGTCCCGCTGGTTCTCTGACAGTCTCTGGCCATCAAACGTGCACCCCTCCAGCAGCAGTCCTCCCAGCTTAGCAGACAACCTGGCTCCCTGGACACTGCCCTTCCATGATGCCGCAAACTTCAGGCTGTCCATGGAACACTTGATCTCTCTGGAAACATTTAAGCAAAATTAATGTGAAGAATTCTTTGTCACAGCTATTTTATTGTATTTATTTACCTTTTTTGGCAAATTGGGATTTGAAGACATTTTCTCTTTTAATGGAAGAATATAGAAGAGAATAAAACAACTGGCAATAGTGCAAAATTGGAGAAAATGTTGACAGAATTTCTTTTAAAAAGCTATAAAGCTTATTGCTTATTGCATCTCATAATCTTGTACTGATCTTTCCAAAAAGGAAGTTCTAATCACCTAAAAAATATCATCAATTTTTTAAACAGTCTATAATAGAATCCATAAACTTATACACCCCTTTTAAAAATAAATATATGATAGATACTTTTTGAGAGGAAATAAATAAGTTAATAAATAAAAGACTTTTTCCTTTACAAGACTTTTTACCTTGCTGTCTGCTGTCTGAGAGCATTCAGGAAGGTATCTGGATGGAATAATTCTGACAAGTCCAGGGTCTCATTCAGTAACATCTTGGTCTCTACCTTCTGGACCCACTCCTGTATGGCCATGGCGCGGGCCACCAGGGAGTGCAGGTACTGGATGGGGTCTTCTGGACCCTCCCATTTCTTTTGCCACTCCATTGGGGTCTACAGAATATCACAATTCATAAACTATGAATGGAATTGATAAGATTTATTAGAATAAGCTTTATGTGTAAATGCTTTAAAAATGACGTGTGAAACAGCAACATTCTCAAATTGTGTTACATTAGAAATTGTAGTATCTTATAACTATTTTCACTTTTATACACTCTATTTTCACTCTTTTTTTTGGAAAATTAAAATAAACAAATCAATAAATAAATTAATTAAAATAAATCAATAAATAGAAAATAGTATAATAATTAATATGCTTTATACATCTCACAAGATTCCTCATGGTTTAAAAATCAATAATTTGTTTTCATTTTTTGAAAACTCATTTATTCATTTTCCAAGTATTTTGAGGCACAGGCTCCAAACATGCTTCAAAACCGAAACCTCAGAACTGACCTCTTGGTTCAACAAAGCCTCGGCCAGTTTCTGGACATCAGTGGTCAGTAGCTGCGTCCCCCTGATGACCTTGCTGAGGGCGGCCAGTGACTGGTGGATACTCTGGACCAGCTTAATGGCGTTATAGCGCTCCAGCAGAATGAAGGAACTGATGGGCATGGCATGGTCTGACTTCTCACTGGGCGCCGTTATTTTCATCTGGATAAGCTGAGAGCCCTGTAAGGAAAATGAAATGTTGGTAATACATGCAAATGTCTATGTAAATGTGTCTAAAATTTTAAATAGGACCAGTGCCATCATTTCACTCAGCTTGAATCCAGCCCTGTAAGGAAATCACATGTTAATGGTACTTACTCTCAAAATTCAAATTAGAAAACAATTATTTATTTTCCAATAATGTTTTGGCAGTAACACATGAAAAAAAGGTTCTAAAATTGTGAATCAGTAAATGTTTTGGCAAAAAACTAAAAAACGACTGAACTAGAGACCAAACAATACTGAAGTAAATAAAGTGCTTGAAATTCTGGGTCATTAATGCCATACCTGGTTCAGCTTCCTCCACAGATTCAGCACAGGACTGAGCTCGTGTGCCCACACTTCTTTGTCAAACTTGTTCCCCTTCACCGTGGCTCTCTTGACCACCTTCAGCTGGGAGATGACCAGAGAGCTGACCTGCTTCTGGGCCGACCTCTCAATGTTCTCAGGCAGGCCAAAGTAAGAAGGTTTATCATACTCTGGGAGGCCTTCTATTGCATCAAGGTAGTCCTGGAACAATATGGATATCAAATAACTCTGATGAAGATAATAATTCCCCATATGGATAATATTATGCAATATGAATTGAATGTATACTTTTAAATAAAAATCCCCTTGGACAACTCTTATATGTCAGGGCATCATCATTGCCTGCTGAAGACATAATTTAATACATTCACTTCCATCATATCCTAGTGTGAACCACATTATCTCAAATTAATAAGACTTACCCTGTACTAAAAAATAATTGTATGCTTCACAAGTAAGAATGTGTGATGTAAAGCTAAGTGTATTATAAAGTTATATTTCCAAGAAAATCAGAATATCCTGGGACCCCTACCCACCCCTGGAGGATTTCCCAGAACACCAATCTATCCATCAATAAAAACATTAATTTTTAATATAAAGTACCTCAGATTATCTCAATAACATCAAGCCTTACCCTGTAGTGAGTGGTACTGGGCAGTTTAATTGGTCCTAGCTTCTTCCCCTTGGAGGAGGAACCGCTGAGAACACCGCCCTCAAAGAACTGCTTCAGGTAGGAGACCATCACACGGTTGTCAAACTGGTTATCAACGCGGCCGCCATAGATGGCAAACTCAAACAGACCATGGACAAAGTTCCATGCCACTTCACCTTTACCTGGAGTGATATCATGACAAGTCAGGGCACAGTTGGGTATCAGGATTAGTAAGTTGTTTATGAGAGTAAAGGCATGGACCAATATTATCACCACCACACACATACACCCAGAAGTAGTAAGCTATTGATGAAAGTATTGGCATGCATTAATACCATCATCACCACATGTACCTCATATGCTGACTAAAAGCAATATAATATCATAATATTCAATTCAACAATAATGACTGACAATAAATATATTAATTATTTAATAGAACATGTTCATCCAACTGCCAGCAAAATGCCATCAATTTATAGCCATATATCTTAATACAGCTTCTACCACCTACCTTTATTACACAGTCTGTCAATGATGTCACTTCCTGCGCGGAGATCAGATGATGAGAACTCGTAAAATTTGGTCCAGCCTTGTGGAATGTAGTTTCTTCTCTCCTGACACACAGCATGGAACCAGGCCAGTGCAAACAGGGCTTGTGCACGAACCGTGTTGTTACCACGGGTGATGAATTCTGGGCTCCAGTTCTCATAAGTACGAAGGAGGTTTTTCTTGACACCAGGTGGAGCCTGTAACAATTACAAGAATACCCCATATTATAGTCATTGGGGCTTCTTACACAACTATCTCATACATGCAATAGAGTATGGATTTTCAAGACTTATGTATTAATGACTATACTTAAGCCTGCTATCTCACCGGAAATTCATCCAGGTAATCAAATTACTGAAAAAGAGTTTAAGTGATAAATTGAAGAAAATAACCTGTTCTATCACATTATATCAATTTGACTAAATTCACATTAAAATTCTTTGAAAACTTTCATTTCAAATCTATGTAAAATAAATCATATATTTTACAAAACATGGTCCATGAACTTCATTCTGACCTCATATGTGATCTTGAGACTTGACTGCAGGAGAATTGTGGGAAATTTAGGGTGAACTTCTGCTGTCATCCACAGACGGAAATCTTGGTGGGGGGTCATGGTGTTGATTTCCTAAAACACAACCACACTAGCATTCAGACATTTGGAATTCAATAAAACACAACAATACTAGCATTCAGGCATTTGACATTATACAATGTGACATAACTTACTAATATTTTCTGAACAGTATGATAATAATATTTTTTATACATAATATTCTGTTACTGGTATGTTACAGTAGCCAGTTACCAGTTTTTCCTTAATTTCCAAAACTTTCATTGATTTTTTTCAATTGCAATCTTGGTTGGTTTGAGTGCAATTTTTTATCAAGAAAACTGGTTATGACTTTCACAATATTTTATCTCATATCTGCTTATTTCATATAAATATCAAAATTAATTAATTAATAAACATGGACATCATAAGAAGTTCTCTGCCTCACCTTCTCCAGTACAGGTAACCATGAAGTGACCAAGTGTAGGTTCTTCAGACACAGCCACTCTCCATTCCTGGCACAGTCATGAAGTAACTGTAGGGCAATGTCTGCCTGACCCTGACCCATGGCAACCTAGGGAAAATTAAAATACAATCATTAACCAGATATCCTCTTCCTTTGTCTATAACTACAACATATAAATCCAGATCCCATCATAAAATTGTGACATTAGCATCATAGGTGAGAGTGATCAAGGCCAAAAAACTCTCAGCTGAGAAAGGTTAAAAAAGGCAACTTTCAATCTTTTTGTACCAGTTTTTTTTTAATAGTGCGACTTTTAAACAGTGATAAAAGATTTGAATTTTCCAACAGATTATACTGTTGTCCCTTTAGTCTGTGATGTCACCTTAGCAAGTGTGACAAAAGCATTTTGTTTTTTTTTTTTAATTAAATATTCAAATTAATTAGCAAAAATCTGGCATCTATCAGAAATCTGCCACTTCCCTGCAGAGCTAAAAAATTTACCTGGTGATATTTGTCCTTCCCAATGACTTCTGAGGCCATTTCTTCCAACTCCTGAGAGGGGTCAGCACCGGGCGAGATGACAATCAAGATAGGCTCAGCTGGTAAGGTCTCATTCTGATACAGCCGTTTCAAGTTCACGGATGGTGGGGACAGTTCTGTTCTCGCTGTGGGAAGACAAAATGAAAACCTGGTCATATAACTTTATAAATCATGCATAAAACTTTACAACAGTTCATGGAATTTTCTTTCAAAATTGTGTAAGGCAAAAAGTTTTGATTTCATGGAAATGACTATAAAACACAATTCCGGTAAAATTATCTCACCACTGTCTAAATTGCTATCAGGAGAATAAAAATATTTTTTAAAAGCTTATGCCAGAGAACGGTGATGCACATGCACAGGGAATTTTTAGACAATTTGTCAAAAATGAGCAAGAGTACTTTTAAAAAATCAGAATAGGCCAATTTAATGAAATAGTAAAAAAATAGAGGCAGTCTAATCAATAAAACTTGTCTTATAAAGATTTTGCACAAACCAGACTCATAACTTAAAAATATCAACATGTTCACAACACGTATGCCACTTTCAAAGTAGAAGTAACAACTCTAACCAACAGCACTTACATAAAGCTTTAACAGCAAACAGACTCATAGCACTCTGCAGCCTGTCTGGCCTGGTGGCCTGAACTGCCAGAACCTGCTGGAACAGGGAGATCTTCTTGGCAATGGCTGAGGGGAATTCCTTCTCACACTCACTGCTCCTGGCAAAATTGGACCAGAGATCTGTGTCTTGGAAATTCAACTGCTGGTACAAATCTGGGAATGTGGACTGAAATATTCAAAGGACAAATGGCTTCAGTGTCAGATATGTGTTTAAAATTATTCCTAGGAACTGAGGAACATATTCTTAACTTATTCACATCACCTCTTTAAATAACTCAAATTGAAATCACAATTACATAACTATAAAGGAGCTAATCTGTTACAGGAAAATAGTCAGCTGGAACCTTTAAAGCTTCAAATCCTACCTTCAGCAACAGAAGAGCTTGTGGTCTCTCCTGGTCCACCCATGCTGGGATATCTCTGGACTGTTTACTGTGGTCTGCCTTCACATCAGCCACCAACAGACCAGTGAACAGCTCCCACTCCTACACAACAACATGGCAGGAAATTATATAAAATGTGTTGTCCAAAGGTATTTTTATCAAAAAAATGATTAAACTTTACATGTCAACAACGCAAAATATTGGCAATATTTTTCCAGCATCAGAATGAGTCAAAATATTTGCAGAAGACCATTTTTTTTTCCTTTTATGATTACGCTTAGAATTTCTTGTTGAACATGTTTATAAAGTCAAAGAAAGCCATTCACACCAAATTCAATTCATTCTGAAAATAAAAAAAAGTGCTGATAACATTCAGTATACAATCCACTCACATTCTCTTTGAACTCCTGTGGTTTCATTCCATGGACCATATGAAGGGCAAACATAAGGCGGTCAGCCTTGAACAGTGACCGACAGACGTACTCGTAGACCAGTGTCTGAAGAGAGTCGTTCAGTGTCTTCACCTTCATCTCTGGACTGGCCCCGGGCTGGTGACGTGGAGGAAAAAGAGCAGTTATTTTATCACATTAAAATATACAATGTTTCTAAAGAGACTGAACATGTTTCCTGTCTATGAGGATCAATGAAAGGTTGAAATATCACACCTCATCGGTTTAGTCTTTTTATAAATGAATTATTTTTCAATGTAGTTATTTAATCTTTCTGGCTTAATTTTTTTTTAAATTCTGTCTGACTTCTCATCTTTATCTCCATCTTCTTCCTCTGCTGTCACTTACTCTAGACTTTATGTTTGCTAGGTCTAACTAAACCTCTATGTCAAAAATCTTATCACGTGCATTTAAGTACAATTATAACAACAATCTACATGTATTACCTGTCCAGTCTTCAGAGCTCTTTGGAACAGCCTGAAGAAGGCGGCCAAACTGAAGCGGTACATGTTATTGATCTTGGCCAGGTCACTGATCACAAAGTACAGACGGCTCCCGTTCTCAGCCAGCGGCAGGTACGCCCCCCTCTCCTGGTCCAGAGAGGCCTGCAGTCTCACAGACTCCGAGAGGGACTCCACGATAGTCATGCTGCTCTGCTTCGTCTTGTTTAAACTGTCCAGCAGTTCTTTGTCCTCCAGGATGTTGCCTTTGGAGTTAGCCAGGTTCTGGAGAGAGATTATTATAGCGATTGGATTTGTCTTCATATTCTGGCAGATTTGACATTTTTGTAGATATTTGTATTTGATTAAAAAATTTAGACATAATATTATTCAAATGAAAAAAAGAAAAAATATATAGCTAAAAGTGTCTCTTTTATCTCTTAGATCAGTCTGTGTGTATTTTGCATGTCTGCAAATAATATCAAGCGAAATTTATTTCAGACACATCACCTAGCTTCTATACTCACATTATCTTCTTAAAATATATGCATCTATTGAAACTGCCACTAACCTCTAGCAGTGACTCTTCCAATTTTGCCAACTCAATCTTGAAATCTTCTTCTTGCTTCAGCAGCTCTGTCTTCCTCACCTCCAGCTCTGGTTTTTCATGTTGTATGGTCTGTGCTAGCAGCTGAAGCAAGAGAAAAAAATAAAGTCGTGTTCCCTTTGCTTCTGAAATCTGATTCTAAACTAGACATTATCAGATAGAAAAGTAACAAGTATAAATTCAAAGTAGTAAAACTTAATATTGCTCACAACTTAAAATAGTGAAAGCTTTCCCAAAAGAGAGTTACTAGTAAGCTGTAAAGGTGAAACAATTACCAATCTTCACATCATGGCTATACTGGTAGTATTTCAATAATACTCGCTCAGAGCAATCAACTTCTCTTCAATGATTTAAATGGATACTGCAATGAAAGTCTACACACTTGTAATATTTTCATCACAAAGACACAACTATATGTTTTTGAATGTAATATAAGTCATGTCTACCTGTCCTGTGAGGCCTGCCCTGGTGGTGGTGAAATTCACCTCCGAGATAATCGATGCTGCATCTGGGGGGATCTCTGGGGCGGGGTTACGGGTGGTCATGAACAGGCGGAAATCCTCGTTATAGTCAATGGTCTTCTCCCCAAGTTGTACCACAAATCTTGGACCTTGGGGCAAGAAATTGGAATTAAGTGCTTGATAATAAATGCACTGTCTTCAAAATGATATCACCAAATGTATGTTTAATGATAAGTTACTAGTCTACAATAAGATTGCCTGAAACAAAACAGTTCATATTATTTAGGTAAGCAAAGTTCAAATTAACTTTAAAACATGTGAAATACTTTTTTGATAAAACTAGAACTTCTGTACAATAACAAGTAAATTAGGATTTAATCCCATCACTGGCATAAAACCCACCTTGTGAGAGAAGATCTCCCCTTAGAAGAGGATACAATATGGGCTCTATTATAACTAGTTGAACACTCACCTTGAGAGAGGAGATCTCCCCTAAGAAGAGGATACAATATGGGCTCTATTATAACTGGTTAAACGCTCACCTTGAGAGAGCAGATCTCCCCTAAGAAGAGNAACTGCAAGAATCTGCTGGAACAGGGAGATCTTCTTGGCAATGGCTGAGGGGAATTCCTTCTCACACTCACTGCTCCTGGCAAAATTGGACCAGAGATCTGTGTCTTGAAAATTCAACTGCTGGTACAAATCTGGGAATGTGGACTGAAATATTCAAAGAACAAATGGCTTTAGTGCCTATTCATAAAAACTCATTTTTGGAAATATTACATTTTTGATACATTTACATTAGCCAACAGTGAACAGATATTCAAATGTTCTAGCAAGAATCATCTTGAGTAGGAACTGAGGAACCCATTCCTAACTTATTCACATCATCTCTTTAAATAACTCATCTTGAACCATAATTACATAACTATAAAGGAGCTAATCTGTTACAGGAAAATAGTCAGCTGGAACCTTTAAAGCTTCAAATCTTACCTTCAGCAGCAGAAGAGCTTGTGGTCTCTCCTGGTCCACCCATGCTGGGATATCTCTGGACTGTTTACTGTGGTCTGCCTTCACATCAGCCACCAACAGGCCAGTGAACAGCTCCCACTCCTATACAACAACATGGCAGAAAATTATATAAATTGTGTTGTCCAAAGGTATTTTTATCTTAAAAAGATTTAACTTTACATGTCAACAAGGCAAAATATTGGCAATATTTTTCCAGCATCAGAATGAGTCAAAATATTTAGAGCAGACCTTTTTTTTTCCTTGTGTGACTACACTTAAAATTTCTCATTGAATATGCTTGTAAAGTCAAAGAAAACCATTCACACCAAATTTGAATCATTTTGAAAATTAAAAAGTGCTGATTACAATACACATTCAGTATACAACCAACTCACATTCTCTTTGAACTCCTGTGGTTTCATTCCATGGACCATGTGAAGGGCAAACATTAGACGATCAGCCTTGAACAATGACCGGCAGACGTACTCATAGACCAGTGTCTGAAGGGAATCGTTCAGTGTCTTCACCTTCATCTCTGGACTGGCCCCGGGCTGGTGAGGGGAGAAAAGAGAACAGTTATTTTATCATATTAAAAAAAAATTGTAACTAAAGAGAATGAACAGGTTTCTTGTCTATGAGGATCAAGGTTGAAACATCAGGACTCATAGGTTTAATCTAATTATAAACAAATAATTTTCAATCATAGTTGTTTAATCTTTTTTCCTTAATTTGTTTTTAAATTCACCTTACTTCCCATCTTTATCTCCATCTTCCTCCTCTTCATTATGCCTACTTTTATACTGCAGTCTACCATCTTTTCACCATTCAACCCTCCCTCCTCACATCCATCAAGTCTCTTACTCTAAACTTTATGTTTGCTATGTCCAACTAAACCACTAAGTCAAAAATCTTATCACATGTATTTGGGTACAATAACAACAATCTACATTTATTACCTGTCCAGTCTTCAAAGCCCTTTGGAACAGCCTGAAGAAGGCGGCTAAACTGAAGCGGTACATGTTATTGATCTTGGCCAGGTCACTGATCACAAAGTACAGACGGCTCCCGTTCTCAGCCAAGGGCAGGTACGCCCCCCTCTCCTGGTCAAGAGAGGCCTGCAGCCTGACAGACTCCGAGAGGGACTCCACGATAGTCATGCTGCTCTGCTTCGTCTTGTTTAAACTGTCCAGCAGTTCTTTGTCCTCCAGGATGTTGCCTTTGGAGTTGGCCAGGTTCTGGAGAGAGATTATGTCAGCTGTGAATTTTATCATGAAAAGGTGTGTGTTGCTGGAAAACTGCTGTCTTCATATTTTGGCAGATTTGTCATTTTTGTAGATACTGTGTATTTGATTAAAAATTTAGACAATCAAATTATTCAAATGAAAAAATACAACTAAAAGTGGTACTTATATCTCTTAGATCAGTCTGTGTGTATTTTGGATATCTGCAAATAATTTCAAGAAAAGTTTATTTCAGACACATCACTAAGCTTCTATGCTCACACTGTCTTTTTAAAATATTTGCATCTATTGAAACTGCCACTAACCTCTAGCAGTGATTCTTCCAATTTAGCCAGCTCAATCTTGAAATCTTCTTCTTGCTTCAGCAGCTCTGTCTTCCTCACCTCCAGCTCTGGTTTCTCATGTTGTATGGTCTGTGCTAACAGCTGATGTAAGAGACAAAAATTACGTAAGTCATGTTCCCTTTGCTTCTGAAATCTGGATCTAATTTTGTCATTATAACATAAATAAGTAATAAGTATTTCAAATAAGTAAAACTTTATATTGCTCATGACTTAAAATTGTGAAAGCTTTCCCAAAAGAGGGCTATTAGTAAGCCCTAAAGGTGAAACAATTACCAATATTAACATCATGGCTATACTGGTAGTATGTATGTCAATAATACTCACTCAGAGCAATTAACTCATTTAAAATGATTTAAAATGGATACTCTATATAATATTTTCCTCACAGAGACACAAAATTTGAAGTTTTTGAATCTAATATAAGTCATATCTACCTGTCCCGTGAGGCCTGCCCTGGTGGTGGTGAAATTCACCTCCGAGATAATCGAGGCTGCATCTGGGGGGATCTCTGGCGCGGGGTTACGGGTGGTCATAAACAGGCGGAAATCCTCATTGTAGTCAATGGTCTTCTCACCAAGTTGTACCACAAATCTTGGACCTTGGGGCAAGAAATTGGAATTAAGTGCTTGATAATAAATGCACTGTCTTCAAAATGATATCACCAAATGTATGTTTAATGATAAGTTGCTAGTCTACAATAAGACTGCCTGAAACAAAACAGTTCGTATTATTTAGGTAAGCAAAGTTCAAATTAACTTTAAAACATATGAAATACTTTTTTGATTAAACTAGAACTTCTGTATGATAACAAGTAAATTGTGTATGAATCCCATCACTGGCATAAAACCCACCTTGAGACAGCAGATCTCCTCTTAGAAGAGGATACAATATGGGCTCTATTATAACTGGTAGAACACTCACCTTGAGACAGCAGATCTCCTCTAAGAAGAGGATACAATATGGGCTCTATTATAACTGGTAGAACACTCACCTTGAGACAGCAGATCTCCTCTAAGAAGAGGATACAATATGGGCTCTATTCCATCCATCTCTTGGATAAGTAGTGTCTTCCCAAACCTGACGGCCAGCTCTAGAGCAGTGATGAAGTTACCATCCTGAATAATCAACAACATGGATTATTGGAACTACCAACCAGAATGACTACATAATGATAACTTAAGCTATATCTTATGATGTATTTCATGTTCCATTTATTTCAGATTTATGAAAAAAAAATCAAAATCATCTATGATAAAAACATGACATATTGAATTATTTGATTCAACATTGTGAGAAAAATTGAAAGATTATCAACATATTTACTGTAGACTTCTTTTTTTATACTTAATTGATAAATTCATAAGACTCATTTATTCTTCTATTTATTCATATTTTTTTATTAATTTACTTATAATTTTATTCAATTATTTTTCTCTGCTTTCAATTGCCTGCACAATGTCTGGTTTAAATCCACTGATATCCTGTATGTCATGGTCAGTGAGTTCTCACACACCTGTTGGTTGACAACTTCCAGCTTATGTTCCTTCAGATGAACCTTGAGCCACTCTGTAGCACGCGACGACGGGTCCACCAGGAACGGACGTAAGGAACTCTGAAATCAGGCAAAACAAAGAAGTCATTTCTGTTCACTTACAGTGCATCCCAAGTCTTTCACATAATCCTACAATATCAGAGCAACATAGTTTTTTGTAAAATCTCCTTTATTACAGAGTTGTAGTGATTAACATTAATGCAGTCGTGTGAGTTGTGAGATTAGTCACCTTGCCTGATCTGCATTCCACAATAAAGTGTTTGCTTTACTCATAATTTCATAAGAGTTAATCTGTGTGCCACTGACTAGAAGATGCTGCATAAACATCATACAAAAACTGCCCTTTATGAGTGTAATTAAATTTTGTGATGAATCATTTTAAAAAACCTTCAAGTGTAAAAATAATCATGAAAAAACATTATCATCTTTTCATAGTAGAATATAAGTGGTGGGTGAAACTGTGGAAAGAGAAATTGCAATGTGTACAAAGTTGAAAAAAAAAAAAAAAAAAGCTTTCAGAAATTCATACAAAAATTTGTCTTCTAGATAGTACCGGATGGCTATAAAATTATACCTTTAAAATTATACAATGTGTGTTTTCTAACAAAGCCCCATTAATGGTTGCAGGCCACAGCTATACTGAAAATGTGCTTTCTAGGTACCCTTAAGTGCTGTATAATTATGACAAGGTTGGGTGAGTGTGACTAAGCAGAATACAGGACGACTTTTTGTCTTTCTTTTCTTTTCTTTCCTTTTTCTGCCACTAACTCAGTTAGCAAAGAGAGAAAGGCCTAAAGGCCTAAAAATATTGGCCAAAGTTAGTGAAAGCCTTTTTAAGCAGCTACCATACATGCAGAAGGCAATATACTGGCAATGGTTAGTTGGTGATAGGGGGTGTAATGTTCAATATGCAACCTGCCATGTGCCTGTTGTTCTCAAGTACAGTTTTACAGAATTGTGATTCTCGGTGCTCATGTAATACAAGTTCATTTTCATCAAACCCAACATTTGCAACCTTCCCACACAATACATACAGCCAGAGGATGAGAAGACTTGGGGATAAAACCATCACTACAGGGGGCATTTGATTAATTTGGAAATTGAACTGGTTATCATTTAGACAGTTACATTAAATTGATATCTTTTAAGTGATAAAGGAACACACTTGTACACAAATCCTTATTTTATGAATTTTTAAACATTTTCACATTTGTGTGGTATGTGATACTGTGTTGATACAGGTACATAAGTACAGCAGACTTGACGTTAAAAAACACCACAAAACTCAATCCACAAATCACCAATACAATATACAAGGAGTGCAAAGAAATCACATATACTGTATCACTGATAAAAAAAACAAAATAGGAACTGATATATACCAATATCTTCAACCAAACCACACCATAAAAATAAGAATTACAAAAGAAACAGATTCACACACTCAGACTGCACTAGACCTCTTCCACCAAAAAAAAATCCCTTCAAGTCTTACCCCTGCTGCTATGTTATTAATCTAAAGTCCAAAAAATGAGGCAAAGAAAAACAGAACTACATCAACTATAAGTCTTTAAAAATTCAGCAGCTAAGAATCAACACTTGGCTACTAAGAACAAGGTTGAAAACATATATATAATGTCATTTTGAATTTATACAGAATATAAACAGAATACTAAATAATGAATAAGAGGAGCCTAGTTATCTTATACCAGCATTAAAACAATCATTTAAAAGATGACTGCATCTTTTCTACATGAACCCTGCACATGTGACTGTAGTATTTAAAAGGAGCAACTTTCACTTTCGTGTAGATGATTTAATTGTACGAACTCAGCTCTTCTCTTCGTGAATGCTGTACAACCTGTCAGCAGCAAGATAGGTAAGAAATATGTCCTACTAATTTAAGTTATATACAGTACTACACAATGTATATGATTAGTGAGGGTTAGTTTCTCACCTGAAGAATGACCAGAGCGTTTTCCATGGACAGGTCATCTGACGGGAGTCCCTCACCCTTCCAGATCAGCTGCTCGCTCTCTGTGCTTAAGAAACGACGCATGTCAAAACCTTTTACTCCTGTAAATAGACAAATACAACTGCTGATAAATCCTTTTACAGTTTAATTAAATGCATGCCCAACATTATTATTTACAAGTGCAGTGTGTTTTCATTTCTTTATGAATAGACTCATTTAACATAAACAAATCAACATTTATTTCTCAGCCATGTCCAGTTTATTTTGTACCATTTTCCAGACAAGTCACCTATTCTTTTGTGTTATTTTTTCAAAAATTTTTCCACAAAAGGAGCCACTTTATATTCATTTCATTGCAAGTTCCATGCAGACACAGGCTGGCGAAACTCAAAAATTAATCATACATTACACCAGTGTTTGAGTACAACTTTGATGCAGCATACAGGATTGTCCAATTGTGCTGGGGTAAGGTACCCATGATCTCAGAAAGCTCCATTATAAAGAAAAAAAATCACCCCCCCCTCCTACCTACCTGCCATGTCCATCCACTGCTGTAACATATTCCTGCGTACATCCTCTGGCTCTGCAGACAGGTAACTGATGAAAGCAGATGCCAGTAGGGCACGCATTGGCAGCTCACCCAACTCTGCTGTCAACTCACCAACCTAACAGAAACAAATTTGAAATGATTTAAGTATGAGTATTCATAATTTTCATCAGATATGATACATTGTCTCTTCTGCTGTTATAATATAATATAATATATAATATAATATAAAATTTTATATAATATAAAATTGCAATTGCTCCATTACAATTTAGGTGAATAAGACTGAAAGTTGATTTTATAATTTTGGCTTTAAATAAATTTAAATTTAAATCGATTTGCCCATGCCACAAATGCATTTCAGTATTTGAAACATCTCACTGGTTTCAGATACTTTGCTAACCCAAATTATCATAAATTTTTATGTGAATAATTGACATATTTCTAAAATGTGTTCCAGCAAATCTGCACTATTATAATATCACAAAACTATTCTTTTCAGCCACCACTTACACTTTATTTCAGTTTTTTCAAACCTTTGTAATAATACGACTAAGCATTTAAGCTCATACAAACCTGATCATTCCACCTCCTATACTCTCCATCTAGTTTTCCCACCAAGTTTTCAGCATCCTCAATCGTTTTCTCTTCTTTCTCCAGCTCTATCTTGAGGTGTTCTGCCTCTCGGGTGAACTTCTCAAACCTGTTTCGCAACCGTTCTACCTCTTGGTCCACTTCACTCAGTGCCTTCTGCAGCTTGGCCAGCTTGGCTTCGGCTTTCTCAAGGTTCCTAAAATACCACGGTTTATTGAGTACATATTCGTTAAATACATGAAGCTTTAGTTTGTTCTTCAAAGTGGATAAATTAAGAAGTATTCAGAAGGGTCTTTTCCTTGTAACATCTTTCGACCCATCTGTTATAATCTTAACTACTTCTATGATTGTGTGATGAAGAATCAAGAAGAGATATAAATGTTTTAATTTGTATTTTCTTTCTTGGCATTTGAGATGATAAAAATTACAATAGTAAAAAAGTTCATAGTGATTAACCAAGATCACGTCATTTCAATACAGCTGTCATTTTAAACAATTAGCTCAAAAAATTCAATGCCATCTTATTCACATATCTACTTGAAACAAAACTTCTTTTTTTACTTTTGAAGGTGTCTTTGTTCTGTTTCCAAAGGCTCAATTTTCTCCAGGACATAAGAAAACTTAACATTGGCTCGGACCCAGCTGGCCAGTGGAGCTGCAGCAGCAGACGCTCTCTTGGCATTCTAGAAAACAAAGATTGGCAAAATGTGAAAATGAGCTGATAAATAGCATCAAACCTTTCTCAATATCTTATCATCCTTTACCCTGTCAGAGACACAACAATCTACACGAAAGGTTAAGCCATAAACTTTGGGAACATTCAAATAGAGTAAAACTAAACAAAGGTTCACCTTTGGGTCGAAAGATTCTTTCCTCTTATCCAGTAATTCCTCCACCAGTTTCCTGTAATCTGGTGTGATTTTCCTTGCATCAAACTGCTGTATTTCTTCCTTGACACCTCTCTTGGCAAGGAAACTAAAAATGAAAGTCAGTGCCTATTCATTCCTATATCTGGTATAATAATGACATCAAATATGCGCAACACGTGTAAATGTTGACAAAAATTACTGCATATTTCCTACAAAAAAGAGAGAGAAAGAGAGAGAATAATTTCAACATGTGCAAGTACCCACCTCTTCATACTATTCCAAGACATATCATTAATCCCCATCAACTTGAGAACTCCCTCCAAGATATCTCTAATCACATCAGGGGGAGCTCTCAGAGCCCTTATCTCAGACAGCTGCTCTGTCTTGATGCTCCCCACAGCAGCCTTGGCCTCTCTCACCAGAGGCTCTATCTCGGAGAGCTCAATGTCTATGGCTTTCTTCCTCTGCTCCAGCTTAATGTTCTCTTCAGCCACCTGTGCCTTGATTTGTTCCATCTCGGTTTTCTGTTCACTGGCATTCTAAGGCAAATTGAAGGATAATTAGTATAACTTTCAAATTTTCTTTTGGCATATGGTCATTTTAAATACATAGGTTAACTGTAAAATCTTTACATATGAACATGGTTGAATTCTTTTATTTAATCATTATTTGATGAAGTTGCAATGCATTTGAAATAGCTAGCCTCTAAGAACATAAAAAAATTAACGTAATTATATTTTTAAAAATCTCCAAATTATGTTTAAAAATCTAACTAAATGTGAAAAATCTTCAGTACCATTTTTACACGTAAAAAGTGTTCCGTGGAGAGTAATAAATTGTACTCACAGACATTCTCTCTGTTATTTCCTTCAGTGCAGCATCAGCTTCTGTTGTTTTCTCTGCCAACAGTTTACTCTGTTCTGCTGCTTTGTGCTTTAAGTCATCCACCATGGATTTTGCCTCATTAAGCTTTGAGACACCAGCCTTCAAAAGTACACACAGCTCAGTATAAAAAAGCTAGAACTACTTTTTTTTTTTTTTCAGTTTTAAATGATAAATGCTGTATGCCAGCTAAGTTGGTTACAATAAAATTGCCCTGTACAGAATCAAAAACCATTTGAATGGTTTTTGCAGCTTGAGAACAGGTGAAAAATGCTGTGTCCTTCAAGGTGATTACAACCACAACTGAGTGTCATCCCAGTCAGACTATAATACAAGCCACTTTCAAACTATTCCCCAGTAAGTAAAATATTTACAGTTAAAATTCCATTTCAAAATTTTTTATTAATTTTTTTTATTAATTTCAACATACCTGAACATGATGTTGCCTCTCTGCGATGACATTTTTCTTGTTGTTGTAGACTTGCATGTATGTATGCAGGAATGACACATAGCGCCTGGGAGTGGCAGTTCCAAACACTTCACATGACTCGTGGATGTGGAGGAAACTTTTCAGTAACTCATCCCCACCAGACAACTTTCTTTTTCTTTCCTTGGGCTCAGACATGGAGGAGCCCTCCATCTTTGGTCCTTGTGTGAGAAGGAGGTGGGGCAGCTGAAAAGATATCACCGGCCATCAGTTATCCACTCTGCACATATTCGAAGCAAAGTGAACTCAAGGAGGAGGTTTTGCCATTCAGAATGAGTTTGCCATTATCACAATAAAAAATAAGGTGTCTGAACCAAAGCAACCAAAGCATGGTGTGGTCACGTAAAAGTTTAACAGTGGCTGGACTGGAAGCCCATGGATTTTGACCAAAACTCCAATTATTTATTTATTTATATATTAATTAATTTATTTATTTATCTATTTTGTTTATTTACTATCATTTGTTTTTGAAATTTGAAAATCTCCAGATTTCTCTACCTCAGAAAGTCTGTACTAGACATGTATAAAATAAACCATGCATCATGTTGCATAACAAGGGTGTAATACTCTGACCACTGAGTTGTGTACCTTGACCATGGACTCCCTGCTCCAGCCATCCATCCACTGGACACTGCACTGCTTGTAGAAGGCCGGGTTACTCTGGCAGTTCATGCTGAAGTTAGCATTGGTACAGTCCATGATGAGAACCACATGGAGGTTGGCCTGGATACCTGAATACAATAGACATATCCTGCATGTATTACTATTGATTTTACCACTTACTGGTTTTTTGGGTTATCTAAGAAGTACCCCCTTCACTGGACCTCTAATGTTGTGCCCCTTTCATTAACCTCTAATGTTGTGCCCTTTTCACTGAACCTCTAATGTTGTGCCCTTTTCACCGAACCTCTAATGTTGTGACCCTTTCACTGGACCTCTAATGCTATACATACTTAACTGGGCCTCTAATGCTGTTTCCCTGAGGGGTTCCAGAAGGGGCTCCAACAACTATAAATTCAGGAACATGTTAAAAAAACTATACTTACGTGATGCAAAGTACCCATGCAGTGGCCCCCTGTACCCGGCCTCTGATGCCGTGTCTCTGAGGGGTGCCAGGAGGGGATCCAGCTCCTCAGGGGTGTAGAGGCCAGGTACCTCTCCTGCTGAGAGCAGGCTGTTGATGAGCTCCAGGAAGGCAGGGTGCACCAGCTGATTGTCCTCCAGGAGTAACACCACCTGCTCATCATCTATACCTGTCTTCTGCATCACCTGTACAGTACACATGTGGTTTATTATAGATTTGTTATCATAACAATGTATCATTTAAACAATATATCATCTGTTTTCAGCAGTATTCCACTGACTTACAGAGATAATAATGGTGGTTTACTTTTATAATATTTTATTCTATTCTTTTCTATTTTTTACACTAGATATAATAATAAATAGAATTCTGCATTGATATAAAATATGAAAAACATATTATAACTTTAACTTGAAGATTTACAGCATTGTGAAAGAAATCTAAAATAAGCAAGAGGAAAAAGTAGAGATTGAAGTAAATAAATGGAAAAGTCAGCATAACATACATAGAACAGTTATAACTGAACTACACAAAACTATCTACGCAAAACCTCACCGTTTTCAAATCAGTCTTAAACTGCTTCAGCCCGTATCCTCTGGCCACTTTAGGTGAGAACAGCTCCAGTTGATGCATGAATGAGATCAGAGTGACTGCTGACCGCCTGCCCACACCACTCCGGCCCGCCATCAGCAGTGACCCACCTGGCGTGCTTAAAGCTCTGTCCAGTCTTGCCATGTGGTCAAGGACCTCCTTGAAGATGATCACATTCAAATCTCTGTTCTCTCGAGCTGGAGGAAGGGAATGTACATAGTTATACTGATATTCTGAGATTTTGCTGAGTGTTCCTGCTAATGATTGTATGACATTTTACAAAAGTTTAGCATAGATAAATGCACATGTGGTAAATTAGTAATTTCACCAATAAATTTACCATACTTTTGGTGAAAGTTAACTTCCTTTACCCACTGCTTAAACTTGATTAAATCATCTAACATTCTCACAGAACATAACTATGAGACACTATGTAACATTTTTGGTTTTCCAAAAGAAATATCTAACCGATAACAATATTAGACTTCATTCTGAAAGGGTTTCATACTCACAGTATTGCAAAAGTCCTTTCTGTATAACACTCTTGAAGTCGTCCCCGCTCAGTTTCCCCAAGGGTTTCCCCGTGGGTGGCAGGGGAGCCCCAGGGGCCACAGCAGGGGCGGAGGCATCATGGTGACCACCCCAAGTCACATAGTAGTTGCCTAGGTGATCAAATGAGATTAACATATTTAGTTATTAGAAATATTCCAAAATTATTCCTAACATCAGTAAATTTTTTTCATATGTAGAAAGCATAATTCAGTCATAATTTATGTTTATAACATACCCTTAACATCATCATGCTTGTTCTAAGAGCTCATGACAGAAATTAGTTTCTAATGTATATCTAATACATCATTTGAAAAAATATAACTATTATTATCAATGTCAATTCATAAAATGATTTCATATAATTATTTACAAGAGAGAGACATGAAGCCTACCTTCAATCCCCTCCATACCGCTGACGCCCCAATCTCCCTGGACAGCCGACATGAGGATATTATCAAACCTACTCAGTCCATCCACACCCACTATCTTGTCTCTGAACAGCCGCCTGGCCTCATTAACCCACACTTCAAGTACTGGGTTCACACTGGTGTCACTGGCAATCATGTCATAGCGTAGCAGACCCAGAACCCAGCGAGTTAGATCGCGCGGCGTGAATAAGTAATGGCTGTAGTCATCCACCGAAAACTTGCCTCGTAACTAAGTGAGTAGTGACAAAAGTAAATTGTTATTTTTAATTCAACCTCTTGAAATAATGCCAGATTAACATTTTCTTTTTTTAGCAAAATATCTAGTGTTTCACTTGATCTTAAATCTTTGGCTTCACAAAAAATATTTAGCTTTTGACTTGACCTTGAATCATATAATTTTATAGGCTTCACAAATTTTAGCTTTTCATTTGATCTTGAATTTTTGGTGTCACAATCACTGCACAATTTAATATCTAATAGGACTAAACCGCCAGCACACCCAATCCTTCCTGTACACAATCACACCCAACACAATGTCACAACTAACACAATGACCTCCTAACTTACCTGTTCATAAACTTGTACCATAGAGCCAGCCAGGGCATGGACCTTAGCTGGATTACCCCATACAGGGTGTCTGGACAGCTGTTTGTGGAGTACAGGCTTCAGGTAAGCACTGTAGATAGCCTGTAACTGCTCTCTCTCGGGGTAACTGGAAGATAAAGAGGAAGTGTGTATTACCATGTGTGTGTTTGAGAACTCCCTGGCAGGTTTTAAGTTATCATTCAAAACCTTAATGTCGGGTGTTTTGCAATTCAAATCCAACAGTTATTATCATTGTTAAATTGATTTTATTTGGTTTTTAATGACCATACATTTTCTTACATACCCAATGGCACATATCCTGACCACAGAGGTAAACCTGGTGGACAGTTGATGACGTCCCAGTGTGCTCCCTCCATTCATGCTGGCTACTATCTGTACTCCCTCCAGACCAACCCACTCCAGGTTGCTGTCATAAAACCCATTGTAGGTCAATACCTGTGTGGAAAAACACAGAACAATACTATTTGTAATTCAGCTCCTATATATCAATATTGCAAATAAAAAGAGAATCTTTTCGTAATTCAATTTCTTTATATCTGCATTTTCCATGTGACCTAAAATCAAGTAAGCAGTCTTATTAAGTTACCTAAAATATGAGCATCTATAAGACATAAAAAATATGTTGAAGATGAAAAAATATAATAAACCTGTCTGTTACGATTAAGGTGACTTTTTCTAACCAATTATCTCAAATTAAAATTTCAAAAAAAAAAAAAAAATCTGAAAATTTCCCAGAATTTTGCCAACTCTCACCTGCTGCAAAAATGCAATGAGCTGACTAGTTCCCCACTTGTCAGGTTTGGGTAAGTTGAGGTCCTTCAAGAAGAGAACCAATCTCTCGCAGTCCTTGGGCCTGTAGACACGGCCAGTGTTGGTACTTATCACCATACAGGATTGGTTCAGCTTCTGTAGCACATGGGTGGGGTTGGTCTGGGCACTGCAGTGGACGGTGGCTATCTGGGTGGACCGCAGCTGTTCAAAGCAGTACTTCAGCAACATCCTGAAAAAGAACAAAAATCATGTTATTTATCCTGTGGTAAGTATAGTTTACTTTCACATAAAAAAAAATTAATTAAAATTTAGTGCTACTTTCAAACCTCTCTTTGTAAATTTCTGATAGAATCTGTATATTCTTGAATTTCTTACACATCACATTTACAGAGACAACCAATATAATTAAGAAAGGCATACTGGAGCACATTCCTGTACTGTTTACCATTTCCAAATTCACCAAAAATACATAACTATGAAGATATTGTCAGAAATGTTGGCACCCCCCCCCCCCCCAAAACAAACAAACAAAAATAAATAAACAGATTAACAAACAAATCACAGCCCAGGCACTCACCCTTTCCCACACCCCTCAGGTCCCACTAATATAAATGGCTGCTTGTTCTCAGCACTGAGCCAAGGAGCGAAGTAGTCCAGTCCTCTCTGGATGTCCCCTGTCTTGATGACAGGTAGGTTGGCGGAACTGGTGAAGTTGTCAGCTGTCAGATCATCTCGTAGCTGACATAGCAGAAATAGAAAGGCGATACTTATATACAGCTAACAAAAACAGAGACGGCTTGCAAGCTAAAGCAGAGTAAATTTTTAAAGTTTAATATGACATGGTATGGAAATGTATTTTGCAAATGATTAGTTAAAGTCTTACAGCAACTACAGTATTATTTTATTCCATCGTGTAACATGAGACTCAAATAAAATCGTTTTCCTTAATGTATTTTCTGCCATGTGGACATCAATGTAGAAATGAATTTAAATAGAGTGAAGGTTTAAGTACAATTAAAGAATACACGTTTTCATTTTTCATTGCCTCTGTATACCAAAGTTCCACTTACACTTACAAGTTAGAAAATGCCTAATGACAAATGGACAAGTGAAACTGACATCTCACTGCCTGAAGCCATTTTCAAAACTGCCAGAAATTTATCTACAGGAATATTTGTAAAGGCAAATGCATATGTGTTGCAAAAGGAAGGCATGGTTAGCTTTTAAACACAATGCATGGATGTTGCACTGCAGAGGAAGTAACATATGCATCTACACAGGCAAATGCACATGTAATGCAGGAGGAGGTTGTTGCTAGGTCCTTCTTAATATGTTTGGACATTGCAATCCTAAAAAGAGGCAGAATGTGCACAAAACATACAGCTAAAACACTAGGTGGCGCCAGAACACCATCAAACAGTGCTCATAAAACTGCTGAGTCATGCAGGAAATGGGGTCAACACACAACGCCATCTGATGTCATCATACAGGAAGATTTATGTAACAACCAAAACCAAGCACACCAATAGCAGCATGCAGAAACATTTGCCATTCACAATTTTATACATTATGATTAGTACATGCGCACAAAATATTCTAGGGTGGAAGGTCCAAGCTTGATGGAGAATGTACAGTATATATAAATATGGACATGCTATGAAAAACGGGGGTAAAGCTAGCAATGGGAACTGTTCAGAAGCATGCTCTGTTTTGAGTAAAACCAAAGTCAGAAGAAATATAGTAGATTATTTACCTTTGGCTATAAAAAGTGAAGATAAATTTGGATATTTATTACAATTTCAAAGAAAGGTTAACTACAACAATTGCACCAAATTCAGGCTTATAGACATTTGATAGTTGAGTTATAGCATTTTGCTTTATGTTTCTTAGAAGCCTTTAATACTAGTTGATTAGAGAGTAGACCACTAGCGTTGGGAGCAGTTCAAACTACAGACTCTACCAAGTGATGTACATGTTTTACTACACATACTGTTCTACTGAAGCATTCTTTTACTTCCTCACTTGTCACAACTCTACATGTTAAATCATGCTGTTTCTAGCATGCATCAAATTCATATAAACTACACCTAATTACTGTGATTTATAAAAACCTCTTGCAGAAAGTTTTCCATGATTTCCGATTTCAAATCTTATGAAATAGTGCATGCATGACTTGTCTCTGTTTCTATTCATAACTTTTCTTTCGTGCACTTTTATATCCCCTTCAAATTATCAGAATGACACTAAAATATACAATAAAATATCAAATATGGGTGCAGAACACCAAACAGCAAAGGTGTACACATAATTTATAAATTAGCCAATAGTAAATCAGGAATCCTTCAACTCCTCTCCTTACCTCCACGGAGTATGACATGAGGCGTCCACTGCTGGGGTCATAGTAGGTGTCCAGGGGGCGCCGTGGGTCAGGGGGGGTCTCATGGGTCCAGGCAAATACCTGACCAATGACAATCACATTAAGAATTGATTTACAATACCCAGAACCATAGTGAAATCATCAGTTCCAAACCAATGACTAGTAAAATGTTTTTTTTTATAACTATAGAAAACTATAGTTTTCATTTATTTTTTCTAATCTTAAGACACTGGTGGGAATAAGGTTTTAAAGAAATCTAGCATCAATAAAAAAGTATAATTCTTATATTTATTTATCATTTATTTAGTAATTCTTTTACCTTTTTCTTTATCTATTCACGCATTCATCCATATACTTACACAATCTATAACCAAGAAGTACAACTCAATACAATTACAACTGACAAAAACACAGTACCTCCTTAGCAAAAGCCTCTCTTGTGGCCTCGCTGAGGTTGCCGCCCAGTCCTCTGATGAGAGAGACAGCAAAGTGGGTCTTGTCCTGGACGCCATGGAGATGGGACAGGCCATTCATGACCACACCAACAAGGGTAGTCTCCACCACAAAGTCGCCCTGGTAGAGAAATTATTATTATTACAATTTTGATATTATCTTATAACAGTTTGGTCTTAATATGATTCAGACATCCTTAAAAGGCCTAACATAGATGAAAACTTTTAAGAGAATTCTTCTGAAATACTATCATATATTGTTTTGATTTTGTTTACTGATAGTTTGGTCTTGAAAGGTCTTATTAAGTCTTCTAAAAAACTATTTTTCTTCTATAAGCAAAAAAAAAAAAATTGGAACAAAATAATTCTTCAAAGACAAAAATAAAAATAATAATAAGTCAATTAATGGCTTAAGAATTTTGCTATAACATTCACCCCCATAAGGCCACAGCTCTAAAAGAGTTTTCCTAAAAATCATAATTAGTACCTGTTTGAGGACCCAGTCCATTCCCTTATAGAAGTAGTCTTCTATCCACGCAGCCAGTGTCTTCTGCTCAGCCTCTGGCAGTGTGTTCATCCAGGAGGTGATGAAGGCCTTGATGTCTGTATCCTCATCACTGAGAATAGGAGGGAATGTTGGGAGCATATTACAGAAGTACTAATAAGAAATTTACATCAACAATTTTGAAGGAAGCAATACTGTACAGCAGTGAAGACACTAATTATTTATATACAGGACAACAATTAAATTTTATAGTCAGAAATCTTAAAATTCTTTAATTTTTTTTTTCTTTTTTTTTTTTTTTTTTGTAAAATTTGCTCATGATTAAATAAATCTCTGTAAAATGTGGAAATAGGGTTAAATATTATTATTCCTAACCAAGATCTAAAACTTATCTCTGTCTGATAACTTTCTAAAATAGTATTTTCCCCAAATTTTCACTGAAAAATATTTTCAGTGCCATTCTCTACCTCAAAAATATCATTCCCATCCTAGAGATGGTGGCAGGTGATGCACAGCTAAGGTCATGGGTCTCGAACAGGAAGTTCACATTTGGCCCGAACTGGATACGCTCACCAGAGGGCATTGTTAGCAGTCGGTTGTCATCAAGGACGGAATTCAAGGACTCAATCCATTCTGGGTCTATGTCTCCATCACAAATAATCCAGGACTGGATTTCTGTGAATCAAATAATATTTTTAAAATGAATGCAATATTGATCTTGTGATGACTACATTCTTTAAACATTACTGATTCAGAATCTTATTTGTAACCTGTAACTATTAATCAATAAATTGTACTATTATTTTTTTCAGGTACACTTCACTTTAACATGGTGTTTTATGACTATTAGTGTAGATTTTGTCATTACATAGCATTGAAAGGGGCAGATTGAGGCACTTTTTCTTCTAAATCAGATATATCCATGAATAGGCCTGAAAACAGTGCTGACAATCTGCATCTGATTAAGATTATAAGTTGTATAGTTTTGAGTTACCCTGTGGTTCTCGTACAACTTGACGGGCACTGTATGTTAACACCCCATCTGTCCACTCTCTGGTGTCCATGTCTATATGACCCAGCAACTGGAAGGAAAAATAATGCATTAAAATCATGATAAAAGCACCAAAGTTAGAAAAAAAAGTTAGGCTTTTTTTTTTTTTCAAACAAAGGGAAAATTAATTTTATATTTCTATGCTTAAGCCCAGAAAAATAGTTTCACTACTGCAACTGCTTCTACTACTACTGCTATATCATCCATCTTGTTATTAAGACTTCCTTAAACAGCATATCATTTAGCAACTATATGAAACTGTGTAATGTAGCATATGCAAAAAACTTATTTCTTCATGTATTTCCCAGCCTGTTATTTCCCAATCACCTGTGTTCTAGGTATAGCCTTGGGGTTCATAGTGTACTGTTTCACCACTTGACCACACTTCAACATGGCCTCCTTGAGCACTCTCCACAGTGTGGACTTCCCAGACCCACTGGGGCCTACCACCACCACACCCATCCTCTGACGTAACTGCTCATATAACTCCAGGGCTTTCTTCACCTGTGTGGAAGGAAAAGACATCATAGGTAAAACATCATGGAGAAAGAGAATGAGTGTTGGCTGCACATTATGTATTTATAATTATATGAAACTTGATACAAAAAGGCCTTGTTTTGAATACCAAGTACAATAGGGAAAGCGTGTATTCCCAACATCACAATTCATGCAGAACTGTGAAAATTACATTTTATTATAACTCATTAAAAAAAAAAATTGTTGTATGTTCAAAAAAGGTTCTAATGCTCTATGTTTGACTTTCAAATCTCAACTTACCTGACTCTCATTCACAACAAGGTTCCTCTCCTTACAGACCTCCCTGATGGCCTGCGCCAGGTTCTCATACTCAATGTCTTTAAACTCTGTTCCTGGGAAAACATCCTTCAGCAAGGAGTTAAACCTGATACTGTCAGAGAAGGTCAGCTTGGACAGTGTGTTGATCCTCAGTGCCTGCACTACCAGCTTGGCTTCAATGGCATCTGTGATTTTCTCTGAAAAAATGGGAAATATGAAAATTAATGAAAATTGTTTGTTCTCTGGATTGTAAGGCCCCATTCAGAATAGAGGACTAACTAGTTTGAGGGTCAAATATGGCGACCCACTACAAAGCTTGCCATCTCATCCGCTAACAGACACTGAATAGATATCCCATGGGGAAGTATTCAAGTGGGTGGGCCATATTTGACCATGGGACTAGTTATTCCCCTACTCTGAATGGCCCCTAAGATGAGACAATGTTTGTGAGATTCCCCCTTGGAAATATGCCAAGACCAACTATAATGAATCTTTGTAAAAAAAACTACGTCAAACTCACCTCCCTCCTGTAGATTTTTCTTTGCTGTCTGTAACAGGTTGCCGCAGCCTTTGAGAATAGTTTTCAGTGCTCTCAAACCCCAGTCATAGTGCTGCTGGGGAGTCAACAGCTCTCTAGGATAAAGAGGACAGAATATCAATGTTTTCAGTTTAATATAAAATCCTGAAGTTCATTAAACACTGCATCATACGTGTGGAATTTTATACTAAAGAATAATTTACTCCCTTGCTATGAATTGATGCCCATAAAAGCTATAAAATATCAGAAAAGAGATAAAAAACTTACTTGGAAAGGTTAAATACGGCCACCAGTTTTCTCCCCAGACTCTTGGCATGCTTGAACCCTTCAGAAAATAGGATCACCTCTGCAATAAGCTCGTTGTCTGGTCTGGCCATAGCGACGGGACGGAATAGCTGCTTCAAGTTGTCTGGCAACTTCTGTCTTCCTCCATATCCCTTCCCAGCAGGGTTGAGTGTGATGAAGATGCCAGAGTTGAAGTCAATGTCCACCTTGGAATAAGCAAATGAAAATAATATAAACGAAATGTTACTATTCACTCTTGCAGCTCAAGCTGATTCCCCCTATTATTAAGGCAGATAAGGTGTTTGGCACATGAATACCAGGTTTTAGTTAGTGCTAGAATATTAGTAAGGAATACATTGGCTTGGTCTCTGTGACTATCAAGATGCATTTATAGTTTGTCAAGAAATTTGCCACACTAAGGCTGGCAGATCTGCTTCGTATTTAAACATTCACATAATGTAATATATCCTGTGTGGTTATGTATGTAGACTCAAATTAACATTTGTTTGATGTGATCAATGATCAATACAACACTTCTCTATTCTTAATTAACCAATTGAAATTTTCACACTCACATTTCTCCCCAGCAGTTCTGCTGTAGGTTTCTTTTCCTTGATGGCATCCTGAATGATCTGGATCTGTATAGAGATGGCTGACAGCACGGCCTCCTCCAGTCTGTTGAACTCATCAAAACAGCCCCATGCTCCACACTTCACCAGACCTATGAAGATCCTGCCCATAGATTTCACGTCAATGCCCTGGAGTGTGTGGGAAAACATATACAGATTGCCTTTTTTATTACCTAATCAATAGGTTCAGGAAAAATCATAATCTCATTTGAGTTAGACATGTTATTAAACAAAAGCTCTCTTTAATCACCAAATATCAATCAACCTAATATATATTGTATTTGTTATTTATTTTTCAATGAATCCCATACTGCTCAGGATGAATTTCAATAGCTATATCCCAATAGTGACAGGCAAACTTAATTAACAGTAAATACCTTGTGATACAAGACAAATGCTTTGCTTGAAGTCATGTCCATACTGAACTAAGCAGCAAAATTAATTCATTTAAATCCCTCTCTACTCTCTTTCTCTCATGGGGGCATTACTAGCATTTGAAGATAAAATAATTATAAAAATCACCTCGTCACAGTTGAAGACAAGCACCTGTCTCCCAAACAGCCCTCCCAGTGCTTTGACAGACTCTGTCTTCCCTGTACCTGCAGGACCATATGGGTTACCACCAAGACCAAGGTGCATACCTGGAATATAAACCAATACCTTTAACTGGCTGCTGGAAAATATATGTTATTATTTAAATGTTCATCAGCCACATAATTTCAACAGAAATGTAATATAGCCTGAAGAAGTCTAAATGTAGCTATTGGCTTGTGAAGTATAAAGTTGAAGTTTTTGCTTAACAAAACCTATTGACAAAAGAACTTGCACATTCCTGTTGTTTGTGCAGTATTTACCTTGTGTCAGAGTCAGGTAGCACTTGTCAGTGAGAGGGGTGTGGACAAGCTTGGCTGCATTGCCTTGGTACTCGTAGGTGTACTCAAACTCTGCATCCACCATACGCATCACACATATGCCATCTCTACGCGTGTAGTATCTGCAATCAAAGAATGGTGTTTATAAGTGTACTGAGAGTCTGATTTGTTACATATGCTGTGGATAAGACCTTTTTCATCCTCAGGAAAACTAGTAAGTTTGGCTTATGCCTAAGCAGAATATATATATATATATATATATATATATATATATATATATATATATATATATATATATATATATATATATATATATATATATATATATATATATATATGTATGTCATATGTCTGGAAATTATGTCTTTGGTATATTTTTTTGAAGTACTATACAAGTGTCACTCGGAATTCTCACCTAAGCTGTTTCTGCCACTGCCAGTCTTCTAAATTCCTTGTTTTAGCTTCAACCAGTTGCTGTATCACATCAATAGAGTGGATGGTGTCCAGAATCAAAGCCTTCAGCTTCAGCTCAAGTACATAGACACCCACATCGCTCCCTGCTGCACTAAGGTCGACCCCAGTGTAAGATTCCAGTTTGTTCTCCATTTCTATGTTGAACTCCTGCAGGCTGCTGGTTTTGATGGCCTCCTCACACTGTTCTGTGAAGTTGATCTGTTCTGCTGCACAAAGGATCTGAAATAATATGATAAGGACATTTTATGGTTACGTAAAAGGAAAAAGGATATTCATTTTTCAACCTCCTTTTACATATTTTTAAGTTGTGAATACATGGGCGTAGCATAGTGACTTGCATATTCAGTTATCTTTTTATAAATTTGATGTCATTCCTATGAATTCTTGAAACATATTATTGTGAACACCATTGAAAAAGAAAATGAGAAACTGATCAATTACAAGAACCTTTACATCTTAGGAAAATGCTAACATCCAACACTTTTTCCCAAATATTTGTAAACATGATACCAGCTCTCTTCCTAAAATATTGTCCAATTTTTCTAACCACATTTTCAATAAAATATAGGTGTTTTCCATCAGCCTTTCCCAAAAAAAATTTTTCTTTTCCACAAACTTATCCATAAAATAAATTTCTCTTTCATCTGACAAACCTGTGAAGGATATTTGTTGGGGTCCAGTCCTCCTTGTCCTCCTGCCTTACTGTCCTTGAGACACTCCGTCAACAACTGCTTTAATGTATTCTTCATTTCTTCTGCCAAATATCCCAGCCAAACCTGGAATAAGTTAACACAATGTAGAGTAAAGTTATTATTATTATTATTATTATTATTATTATTATTATTATTATTATCATTATTATTTTTACTATTCAAGTAAAGAAAACAAAAATGATTAAATGACACCCACAGCTTCAGTTGTGATATGATTGCAGTTGATATAAAATCTGTTTGATTTGCCAATAAATACAGTGAAACAAAACTGTTTTACTTAATGTAAATCACATAAAACCAAAATTATGCAACTTCCTAACCATATCAACAATTCTTTTTTAAAATATTAACCAATTGTATCATAATATCTAAAAAAAAAAGGTAACACTTTCATTATGTGCAATTATTTATTCTGATCAAGAAAACAAATGAGACTAATTACTGTTAGTCAGTTGACTAATGAATTATGAAAAGTGACTAAAGGCAAGTGTCTAATGACAAGTTCCTAATGACTAGACACTAATGACAAATGACTGAAGACAAGTGACTAATGACTCCACAGTACCTCAACCTCTGGAGTAATCTGAACTTTCTTCTTCAGAGGCACCACTTCTCCTTCCAAAGACTTCATAGCCACAATGTGCTTGCAGCCATCATCAAAGTTCACGCTGTGAATCCCAGCAAACAGTTTCTTCAGGTGTGTCTGGATCACCTCTGGGTTGGTGGCCTGCCCCAGGATTTCCAGGAGATCATCGTCACCGATGAAATAGAATCTTGGAAAGATGGAGCGTTTTTCCTATTGAATAAAGTGAAGTTTAAGAGGTTGGAACCAATATGAAATCTTGGGAAGATGGAGCATTTTTTCTGTTGAATAAAATTGAATAAAGTTAAAGCATTTAGTTCTTATTTTAAATGGTTATTTTGCAATGAAAATGAAATATTGAGATAATATTTATCATTGCTGTAAACAGTTGTTTAAAAACTACATTTTTATGGTTAGTCTTGACAGCGTAGCTTTTCAAAGTCCCTTACCTCCAGAAATTCATTGAGTGATTTCTGGCACCTCTGTAGCTGATCCAGCATGGTGACCAGCTGGTTCCTCAGTCCAACCTTACCCACCAGGGACAACACACGGTTGTCACGGGCAACATCATACATTATGGCCCTGATAGAATAAAATATACAATTTACCACATAGCTTAAGGAGGATACTAATTCTGTTGGAGAAAAATTTATAGCAATGTAGTGCAAGAGATGAATAAAACATCAAGTTCCATTTTGTCAAAAAACAGTACTGCATAAAACTATTTGTACATAAACACACTTCTAGTATTAATTTTTTACTGAAAATATCAGACACCTAAACAACACACACACACACACACACACACACACACACACACACAGGGGATGGCTGCCACTGACCTGAAATCATCATCCACCCTCTTAAACCTTCCCTGTTCCTTAGGCAGCGCCCCTCGGCCAAAGATGGGCTCCAGGTAGACCCACTTCCTCTGGATCTGGTTCAGGTTATGTAAATACTCGTCCAGGTCTGCCAGCCGTGTCTCCCACACTGTGGCCTTGTCTTCAAAACTCTTGTAGTATGGGGAGTCCTTCAGGGACTGCAGCAGGCACTGGTTGTCTCCAACCTGAGAAGACGATACCATAATATAAGACAGTAGAAGATAGGATAGGATAAGATATTGGGAAATTAGATTAGAATAGGATAGAATAGGATTAAAAGATATGATATGACAGAAGAGGATATGACAGGACAGGATAGGACAGCATAGGATACTAGGATAGGATTTAGGACAGGGTAGAGTAGGACAGAGTAAGGTATTAGGTAATAGGATAGGATAGAATTATAGGATAGGACAGGAAAGGATATACCAATCCAGATTAAATCTGAATCCATATTTTTCAATCCAATTTATAAATCCATTCTTTGTGCGAACAGCTTACTAAGTTCACTTTTCATATTCTTACCGCGTTGACCAAGTCCTTCCAGTCCTTAATGAGCATGATCTTATTACTGCCACTGTCCTGGTAGTCTGTGAGAGCAAACACTGCCCCTGCCCCCCACAGGTCAAGCTCCCTGATGGCCTCCCTGATGGTCACCTCACCCTGGGCACGCTGGTTTAATTCCTGAAAATAAATAATAATTTGGTGTTTTGTGAACATCTCCGCATTTTGATTGGTATCTTTGCTAAGTAAAACCCATCTCATTGTTTTTTTTTTTTTTGGTAACTGCCACTAAACCAAAGAGAAATAAAGTTTGAAAAAGTTCTTGTAATATAATTGTTCTAAAGAAGTTCTACTACATGAGCTGAAATCATTAGTAAATAATTTTAAAGGTTTAAAAAATAGCTATTGCTAATGGTTTCTGAAAAAAGGTGGCTGGTGAAATTGCCCAACAGAATAATTAAACAAACAGTAATAATATGTACACTTGTAGGATTTAGGCAGAAAATCCACCTCAGTAAGGGAGAAATGAAAATGCTAGTAAATTTTATTCTCAAAATAATTCAATATATTAAAAATAAACTTACTTTCAAGGCAGTAGCATTGATGATAATAGCATCAGAAGAACTGAGAATATCACCAAAATTCAACTTCTCCAGTGTGGTTCCTTTGGGCATCCCTAGCATACGGAACAGTTCCAGCCAGTGATCCTGTGATAGAGGCTCTCCACGTACCCACTTCAGCACTGGTAACACATTCTACAACATATGGTATTTATATATACACTCTTGCATAAATATTCTGACAAATATTCTAGACAATAAATAAATTATTAAATATGTCACTAAAATGCTGAAACTGCCTTGAACAATTATAATATAATCTTCAACTTAAATTTTACATTTATACTGCCTTCAATTCATACTTGGTCACCTGGCAGGAGGTAGACATACCTTGTACTTGTCAATATCCTTCTGCAGTCTGACAGTCATTGTGGTGGGCTCCTCTGACTTCAACTTCTCATACCATCCAGCAAGAAACTCCTCAAACATATATGCTTTACTCCTGGAATTTTAGGAATTACAACACTGAGGTTAAAGATTTCCATTTTTTTCAATAAATTTCCATATATACAAGTTCTTATTTGTCATGTTTTCACATATTACAAAACCAAACACCTTAAAACATGAATATGTTATCATTGCCCAAATTAATCTTAGGACTGATTTTAATTTTGAGTGTTTAAAGTCATGCTAAAAGGTCATGTATAAGGTCTGATATAGAAAGCTCATTTTTTTTCTTTAAATGTTTAAAACAATCTTAGAGCAATAGTCTTTAGAGGAAAATCATAAATAAACAATTCCACATTCACAAACCTAAAAGAAATCCAGTCCTCCTTGCAGAGCTCCTGCAGCCCATTGTTGAACTCTTCATACAGCCCCCACATACTCTCATATTTGTTCACATCCTCTGCTATCTCTGCAGCATAGGGAAACTCTGGCATCTCCATGTCAAAGTGCTCACAGTCAGTTCTGCACAGGAAGAATTATAAATGTGCACTGTAACATGTCATTGCTTTGAATACTTGTCACCAGAAAGAAGTTACCATAACTTTTCAAAAATTAAATTGAATTAACCAAATACGTAAATAGAACAACTTGCAAACATTGAGTTGATTCCATGCTTTATTTCCTTATAATCAATTTAAAAAAAGTTTACCAAAGTCAATTAATAATCGCTTCATGTGCATATTTGTCATACGCTTATGTCTTAATTTTCGTCTTAAAATTAAATTTTTAAAAAGAGCATAAGCAGAGATACACTGCATTTTAGCATTTAAAAATCTGAACACACTTACTGCAGAGTCTTCATGGTATTTTCCAGTTCTGTGAACTCTACTTTACGCTCTTTAATGGACTCCACAGCTGCCATACATTTCTGCTGGTCTCCGTCCAGGGCGTCATCCCCTGGTTTCAGCTGGTGCCACCTGGAGCCGAATTTCTCCAGCTCCTGTTCAAATGCCTTGATTCTGGATTCCACATTGCTCTTCATCACCTCAACCTGAATTATCAAACAAGTTCAAATATCAAAATGTTTGATTTTGTAATGTTTGAATTTGGTGAAAGTCTACAGAGTTGATAAGTAATATAAGCCTAAGGATGTATACAGTAGATAAGTGTAAGAAATTCAATATTCTCTTTTACCATCATTGTAGTTTATTACTTAAAAAGTTTTGACCTTTTCACTCCTTATTATTGTATTTTTTTAATTATTCAAAATAAATGCTTTTTTCAAAGGTCTATCGATACCTATTATAAGAAATAATGTGCAAACAAATATCAAAAATGCTATCCTCCAAATTCAAGCAAGTAAATAATTTTATAAAATCCTCTTCCTCACCTGCTCCTTGACCATCAGTTGAAAACTCTCCATCATGAGTTCAAACTTGTCCCACCTTGCCTGCAGGTTTCCAAACTGTTCCACGCCTCCTCCCGCCACTGTCCTCAGTAACTTGTTCTTACTCTCACCTTTGGAAAACAGGGGCTGGATCTGGAGGGAAAAACAACATGGTTTATCAAATCTTACATGCATACAACATAAACTTTATACAAGGATAATGAGTGGCAAATTATGATGGAAAAGCAACTGACTAGCATCAGTTGAAATTAATAAGAAAGATATGGTATTCTATATTTTGAACTATACTGATTAGAAATTTAAAACCATTCCATTAAAAGTCACACTATGTCAAATATGGAAGAAATGATTGCATATAATATGTTCAAAGAAAACATGCACTGAAAGACTATTAAATGAACAATATTCCAATTTTTGGACTTACAAATGCTATGATCAATGAGGGAAATAAATCTTGATATTATAACTATACTTTTTAGCCTCTCTCTCTCTCTCTCTCTCTCTCTCTCTCTCTCTCTCTCTCTCTCTATGTATGTATGTAAGTGTGTTCCTTAATTCTGTGGTATGGATACATAGAGTCAATGCTATACTCTTTAGTTTACAAACCCAAAGCCAGGCTTAACTACCCACCTCTTTCTTCTGTTTAGCAAACTCTGAGTGTTTGGCATTAGCAGTTCCTATCTCCTCCACTGTCTGTGGTCTCTGTGCCAGGGTCTCCATGGCTGTGGTGAGGAATGTATCAATTGTACTGATGTCATTATGGATGGCCTTACGTAGGGAACTCAGCAGAGCATCAAACAGACGCTGGATATGGTCGTCTATGCTGGATTTCACAGGGTTGGTGTTCACTGTGATACAGTCTACCTTGATTTGGCTGAAAATTTGGGTATAAAGATTATCTATATATTCTCCTTATGTTGATTTGCTCTTAATATGAAAAAGGTGAATTAAAATATTTTCATTATGTTCAGTTGTCACAAAAAAAAGGTGTTTATACACTGCATGTCATTAAATCTGTAATTATATCTCAGGTGATTCCCAAAATCCATTTTAAAGATTTACAATAAAGTAGACAGAAAAAGAGAATTTTTCATCCAGTTTCAAATACACTTGGATCAGTGTCTCTTTAAGAAAACATAAAGACAATTTTGAACATGGTGAAATGTATGTTATTAAACTACAAACAAATTTATTTCATGCAAAATAATCTCTCTTTCCTTACCTTGGTAACTTCTCAGCATCCCTTCCTCTGATCTTCAAAGCTTTAAAGTTCTGCTCCCAGTCTCTCAGCTCCACCAGGTTGTCATATACAAACTGATCCAGATCCACTCCACCACATACCACCCAGTCCTGGAAGATAAAATAATTTATTAAATTAAAATATATAAATAACTCAAAATAACTAGATAAATAAATGCTTGATGGATGATGGATAAGTAAAGAAATAAAGAAAGAAATCATTTATACAAAATTTTAAAAATAAATAATATGGAAAAAAATTGATGTAATAAATTACAGTAGAAGAAAGTAATGATTATTATTTGAACAATCTCATATCGTCCCATCTCTCTAATGAATGAAACAAAAACTCGAAAAGAAATAGCAGTGGACATGTAAGACTATATGGCGCAAAAAACAAAACAAAAATCGGAATTTCCAGATAAACCTAATAAACTTTTATCCCTATGTGTCAATTCTTAATTTACTTTACAATAATGACTTTTGATTCTTCTCTTACCACAAGACCCACTTATATACCTTGAACATTTCCTGCACAGCCGCCAGTCTCTTGAACAATAAACCAGCTTTCTTGTAACATGTGATAAACCCATCCGCGTTTCTATCAATGATGGTAGGGAAGATGAGGTGTTCCGTGGCATCTCCCACCCCCTTAAAGTGGTTGGGAATACCGATGAATTTCTTCATCTCTCTGAAGTACTTTGCCTTGATCTCCTCAAATGGAGGTTTGAACTGGAGACGCTGTTGTCTGAAACAGTCATATAAATCTTGATAAAATAGAAATATGCATGTAATGTGCTGTCTAAAATGAAAAACATGAATGTTTTGACTGCAGAGAAATATAGCATCTTTCACAATCATAAAATACTTTTCTCCAAACCAATAAGTTCTATTGCAAATCTGAATTTTAGTCAGCATTCACAGCAAAATATTATCATGATATTAACAAACATAAAATGTTTGGTAGGGTAAACTCAGACCTCCCCTGTGCCTACCTATATGTGAGCTCTACCACAATTTCTGGTAAGTTTTCATTGAGAGCCTCTAGCCCCATCTGGTACTGGTGTTCTAGAGCCTTGTACAGCTGCCTGTCCCAGTGAGCCTTCCATGGAGTCATGTTACTGGCTGAAAAACCCTGGAATATATACAAATATACATTAAAAATATAAGCAAGACACTTATTTAAAAAAATTAAGTACTAAAAATCCTACTGTCTAAATCCTTCAAGGCCTGTATTGTTTATTTTCTGCAATAAGTTCTAGACCATATTGCAAGTAACTGATAATTGTCCTTCAAATGTGTCTCAGAAAAATAGGTAAAAGACTGCTTATTTGCTTAACCAGAGATATTAAGTCAACATACAATTATGTCTCTTCCATCCCAGTTTACCCCATTCACACCAAGGAGAAAGGCAAAAATGCATACTGGTTGTTCGAGATTTGGCCAAATAAGGCTGCTTTTATTTTATACCCTGCCCTCCTAACTGTTGCAACATTGTAACACAAATTGTTGCCTGTATAAACTGTGATGGCCTTACCTGCTGCACCAAGTTGGCCATCAGGTGCCGTATGTCCATCAGTCCATCCTTCCACCTCTGCTGATGTCTCAACAGGTCAGTACTCATCAACTGGACAACCTGGAAGATAATCACAATCATAGCTTGTTTGATCCTCAGGGTGATTGAAAGAGTGTAAAATATCACAGCTTGTTTCCCAGGGTGAATGAATGTAAAATATCACAGCTTGCCTCCCAGGGTGAATGAATGCCAATCATTACATCATGATCTCCAGGGTGATTAGCAGCAAGAATATTTGGTTGTTCTTTAAACTTAGTTTGCCTGTCCACCACAAGGTGTGCTTAAGTCTACAATAAGATGGGGCAGGCAAATAATCTGTTCAAGGGTCATACAGTTGATATGTTGATTTTTTAAAACTTGGCCTGTAGAGATAAAAGATCACCAATCATCCAGTTACAAACCTTTTCGCAGACAATGTTGTGTGATTTCCTCAGTCTCCTGTTCTCTGAGGTCAACCTGTCGGCTGCAGCCTGTAGCTTCTGGATGTATGACTCCAGCTCCTCTGGGTTGTCCCAAGTGATCTGCACGGAGTCCCCCTTCACTTTGGCTCCTGTAATGAAAAATGCACACAAAAAAATTAACATAATTTAAATGACATTGGAAGCATTGCACAAAAAAGCAGTAATAAAAATAATAGCTGTGGTATTATTTATTTTTAAGTTCTCTTAAATTTTTGGAGACTGAAGTGACTGAAACTGACAGACAAGATCAAGACTGA